GGAGTTTAAAAACACAATGGAGCGCTTCGTGTATCACTACATGACGTCACAAATGTGTAGGGTTTGAGTGAAAGACACAAAAATACAACTCCAGGTCTGTTTTTGAGGAGGTAACGACATTATAACATGGCTTAAGGCGCACAAGAGTCAATTTTGCATAATATCGGGAAGCTGAGCAATATCTGTGTCTCTCTCCCTCCAACCACCCCACCATCCTCCCTCCACCCCTCCACCCCTCCACCCCCCCTCCTCTCTCACACTCTCACCCTGTGCTGTAGTGGGAGCCGCCTCCTCCTCCGAGCGTGGTGACTGACAGACACGGGCAGCGCGAGGACAAACCCGGGATGCTCAGGTACCTCCAAGACAAAAACAAGAAGGAAGAGGAGCAGAGGAGCAGAGGAGTGGCTGGGAAGAGGAGGAGCAGAGGAGCAAAGGAGTGGAGGAGAAGAAGTGAAAAGGAGTGGAGGAGCAGAGGAGGAGGAGTGTAGAGGAGCAGAGGAGGACCAGACCGGAGGAGCAGAGAAAAGGAGGAGGAGGAACAGAGCAGCAGGAGAGAAGAGGAGCACAGGAGGAGAAGAGAGGAGGAGCAAAGGAGAGAAGAGCAGTGGAGACATCACCTCCCAGCGGTTCATCTTCTCCAACAGTCACCTGCCCCAAAGGTAAGAGTCCAGATGAGTCTCGTACCGTAGTGTTTTCGGTCCGTGGTCCGGGCCACTGTGAGGATCAGATTAGACCCGTGGTGAGGTGTGAGGCATGAGGTGTGTCTAAGATCAGCGAGGTCTGTGCTCAAGCGCAGTCGTGTCTGCGATGGTTCGTAAAGGCGGCAGCACAGTTAGAAACGGGCTGATATGTTTTGGTTGTGCGGTTACATTCTTACCAAACTGTGCGTGCTTTTCCCCATGGCTGCGGGATTTTGGAGTTCTAAGATGATTAAAATGATCCTTTCTGATCATGATCCATCTGATTCATCAGATCTGGCTGTCTGTGTCATTAAAGTAATATTATATGTCCAGAAATCACATTATAATCAGATTTTGGTGTGCATGTGAACATAGTGTGTAAACTGTAATAAATAAAGCTACATAAATGCAAATACTAAAAAACAGTGGCTACAACATCATTATTTTATTTTTTTAATAGGCTGTAATGACATTGTTCAACAGTAAAAATGTAGTTCTATATTAAATGTTGTATTTATTTATCTTACTTATATCATAGTTATACATAATTGACTTCTTTATTGGGCTAAGAGAACTTAAGCTTTTAAAGGATCATTGCAGTAATGATTATTAATGGCATTTTAGACTGCCACATTTTTTAATCGTCGACTAATTACTTGATTAGGATTATAAACATTTATTTGCCCAAAAGCACAAAGGGGGAAAAAAAGCATGGAGAGAGTTAGTTGGCGCATTAGAAGTGACAGAACAGTTTAATCTGGCTTCTCATTTATGTAAAAGATTGACTCATAATTTTGAGTCAGTAAACCGTTACTGTTTGAGCAAGACTGACTCAAAATTATGATGATGATAATTATTTTCATAATGAGAGCTTTTGTCAGCACCACATTGCCACGCGATGTCCCCCTTTCTTAACCGCCACACAGGGCACGTCAACCAAGAATGTCTTTAGTCAACTCAAGTAACAATCGAGTAATGAGTAATCACTCTTCCACATGAAAACAGAATGGAAGTCTCTGAATGAAAACAGCCACAGTTTTATTGGTGCACAAAAAGGTTTATATAGAGTAGGGCTGCTTGATTAAGAAAAAATAAATTAATAAATAAATAAATAAAAGCATTATCACAATTATGTTGGTCAATACTGAAATCACGATTATTCAAACGATTAATTTTAGTGACACGATAGATTTATTAAACATTTCTCTCTATTTATATATCTACTTTGTTACTGATAATTTACACAAATCTTTCAAATGAAAAATGTACCTTAGAGCAGTTTTGCATTCTATAAAACATAAAATGAATGCAATATACTTGATCACATGAAATAAGGCAAAGAAAAACATAAATGTCTCCAAAATAAATTATATATCCAGCTGTTCTACAATCTCTGTATTAAAAAAACAAAACAAAACATAAATATACTTATCTATATGAAAACTATCCCCAAATAAACTGTGTTAAGCTTTAATTGTTTCAACTCGATTACATGAGTTTGGTGATCGTTTGACACACAAATCGAAATCGCAATCAAAATTCAATTAATTGCACAGACTTATTCCAAATGCCTCTATTTTTGACCAATTAGATCCCAACCAACAGTAAAGAGGGACTTTGTTTAGCTAAAAGATAGAACTGACTTGTGACTGACCCTGAAATAAGTCGAGAATGGACAATGTTACGCGCTCTTTTCTTTTCAAATCTGGCCAGCCTATTTGTACAGAATACATCTTACCTGTAGCATAAACGCCATCGCTACCTTGCAGTTTTATTTCTTTTGAGAGGATAAATCATCGGGACAGATCCGTTATAGATCCGTGGACAGATCAGAAAAGTATAAATCGCGTCATCCCCAAGTGTGCTGTAATACTCACCTGAGCCAGCAGAGGCGCTACAGCCCTCCAGGTCAAGCGATCATAGAAAACACACTGTAGAGACAAACGTGCGGCTACGATGGGGCACACGCACAATAAAAGTCCACTTTACGGGATGGATACGTAAGTTTTTTATTCAGATGTGTGCTTATTACTGCGATCACATGTATAATCTTACAACTTATCTCGATCGGTTCTTAAAATTCAAAGATAACACTCATAATTGTACTTTTTTTTTTTTTTTTTTTTTTTTTACGTTGTATGCGGCTTACTACTGTACCCAAGTAGTTGTGATAGCGATTTATTTGCTTTTTTTTGTTTTGCTGTGGGGTTAGATCGCTGCTGGCTGACATCCTTTGCGATTGCGCGCGATCCGTGTTTAAAACGGTCGCGATTTTTTGCGTAAACGCGGTGTTTAATTCGCCCGATCTCCCGTTCTACCTGTTGTATTCGTGTGGCCGTAGGAGCCCACATCGCAGCGCACAGAGTCGGCGTGCACGTATCCCCCTCCGCTCTGTGTTGCTCCCGAACGATCCAGCCAACATGGAGAGTTAAGGGCAACACATCGGGACTATTTTTTCCGCTATTTCCCCCCCAAAATAACTTCTCCATGATCTGGATTCAAAGGCATCCACGTTGCGCCAGTGTCCCCGATGCAGCGGATCACGGGGCCCGGGCTTTCACACACGGTACGGCCGCACTTTTGCTGCGGAACACGGGACCTTATTGCACGGAGCTAAAGCGAGCTAAAGTGCTAACGGCTAATGCTAAGCCAGAGCTAACGGGGTACTGGGTGAAATCCTAGGCATTTCGTCCGGCCAGGCGTGGTTTACAATAGCTGTGTTTGGCGTGATTTTTGGATTTTTATGTATAATCAGAGTTGGGAAGGTTACTTTTAAAAATTATTCCCCTACAGATTACATATTACATATCCCAAAATGTAATTTGTAACGTAATCCATTAAATGATTTAGAGTGAATAACGTAATCTGATTACTTTGGATTACTTGATATTGTCATGTTTTTTAAAACAACATGGATGTACCAACCACATCCTGAAAATAGTTTGTTTGTTCTCTTCAAATTGTCTGTTGACCCAAGTCTCCATGAATAAGCAACTGTTTACTATAGAGAAGCAAAGACCAGGAAATCTTAACATAAAATGTTTTGTCTGCTAAAACAAAATAAAAAGTCCAGTCTTTACTTAACCATATTAAAAATATTATTGATAAAGAAATTATTTTTTTATATGAGTTCACTGCTGCTTTAAATTATGTCCACTCTACTGTTAGTGTCATATTGTTTAGACCTGGTTTAGTCCTGGTTTTAGTGCTGATTTAGTCCTGGTTTTAGACCTGGTTTTAGTCCTAGTTTTAGTCCTAGTTTAGTCTTAGTTTAGTCCTGCTTTAGTCCTGCTTTTAGTCCTGGTTTAGTCCTGCTTTTAGTCTTGGTTTAGTTCTGCTTTTAGTCCTGGTTTAGTTCTGCTTTTAGTCCTGGTTTAATCCTGGTTTAGTCCTGGTTTTAGTTCTGGTTTTAGTCCAAAATGTGAAAACAGAAAAATACTGCCCTGTAATCCATTTATTTCAACAAAGTAACTGTAATCCAATTACCACTCATTGAAACAGTAACTGTAACTGAATACAGTTACTCATAATTTGTACTCTGATTACGTAACTCCGGTACATGTAATCTGTTACTCCCCAACACTGTGTGTATAATTATTAGGTTAAATTTGAAGATGGTGCAGATTATGTTTGAAATACACGTAGGGAGTAGTTATGGGAGCAGAATTATGGTTGTTGGTTGAGTAAAAGGTCATAAAAGGTAGCTGCATCTCTGCAATCTAGTGCTGTTTTGAATAGGATCTTTACATCAGTGTTTCCCATTAACACAGGAGACAATAATAGTCCACAATAACCTGACCTATACATTTGCATAATAACATTAGACTTTGTTGCTCATTGTATTATTTTAAACTTATCAAGAGTCATGGGTCAATAATGGCTGATTAAAGATAAAGATTAAATATAGGCCTTCACAAACTGAATGAGATTCAGTTATTCAAATAAAAGTCATCTGCATCACCATAATCTTAATGAAACCTATGGGAAACACTGCTCATTATTATTTTTGTTGTTGGGATTACCATAAAAGTCGGTGCATTGGATTTTGCTTGACAGCTTGTGGCTTTGCCTAATTCATTCATTTGATCCACTTTTTGTCCTCCTTTGGATCATGTATTGTTTAAAACTTAAGGAGAAATGATGTAGTCCACTTTCAAACCTAGATCAGACCTGGACCTGGAATAGTCCTGTCATAGACCTGGTGGGATTCAGAAAGACAGATGTATTCTTTCTCCTACTTTAGTTATTATGGGGTCACGATTTTCTCTACTTTTATGTGTAATGTTACTTAAATTAAATCTTATTTGAGTACTAGCTCATATTTTGGCGTTCTTCTCACCACAGTGAGCCACTACAGTGAGGTAGGAGAACCAGGCAACTGCCTAGGGCCCTTGGTTGTAAAAGAGCAAATTACACGATTTTTGTACCACTTTTCTGTAATTGAAAAATAATAATGATTAGTAATAATAAATAAATAAAAGGACCACCTCTTGCTTAGGGCCCCGATGGTACCTAGAGACTGCTCTAGTTCTACTAGGTATGAATAGGGACTGGGAACTTTTTCCATTTTCTATGATTAAAACTTTACCCTTTCATTTTTATTCAGTTCTAAAAATGTGTTATTTAGCTTTATGTGTTGTCTCTAATATAGTTTTACATATTGTATATATATTTTTCTGTTATATTTATTTATTGTACATAATTTGAATAACTGAGTGAGTGACGTAGCTCGTTTCTCCCCGCCCCGCGCGAAATGCCTGGACTTTAGTGATTCCCCAAACACACCGAGCTAGCAACTCGTACAACCGGGACTTTGCCGTCAGTTTGGGCCCTTAAACTTCGCTTTCCCGGGCCGGCGGATAAAGTTCCCGTAGTTTGGCCTAGTGTTCGCCGTGTTTGTCGCTGTTCGGGCCCGCTGAAGTGTCCGGTCCGGTGCGTGAGGCCCGTCTTGTGTGGAGGAGTAGAGTTTGTGTCGGTGCCCATCCCCCACTTTCTTTGCAGGCCAAGATGAATGAGATTCTCACTTCAAAGCAGAGCCACTGCAGCCACTGATGTGACGTTCATGAACGAGCCGGCTCTTTTCAACGGCTCCTTAAGTGGAAACACTACAACCAAAACTCGTGTTTTTCAATTTTTACTTTTTTCTCAGTTTGGCCTTTTGTGTGGAAACAACAAAATTGTCTATTCTGCACTGAAAGTTGTTCAGTATTTCATTTAGTCAGCTTGCATCCAGAGTTATACAGAAGATTGAAAATTCAAAAGCTGTTTTCTCAGAATGCATTTCCCTCCTTTAAGGATGAGAACTTAAAGTAGCACCTGCATTTTACAGCCTTGGACTTAACAAGAGTTTGACAAAACCTACAGAGGCATGTTTTGATATCTAATTCTATGTGTGATTTCTTAATGTTTTTATCTTGTGACCAGACGTCCCTATTACCCTGGGACAGTCCCAGTTTTGAGCAATATGTCCCCTGCCCTAGTGGATTTATCCAAAACCAATGATTTGTCCCAGTTTTATATAATAAATGTCCCTGGTGTCCCTATTTTTAACCAATTTGATCCCTGCCAACAGTAAAGAGAGGCATAAATTGTGATTTGTTTAAGTAAAATACTGAAAAGCTACTTAAAAATGTGACTATACTGACACACGTTAGTCATGAATGGGTCAAGTGTGTAACAGTTTTCTTTAATTATGCACTTTATTCACAGTTTTATTATTACCAACCACCACAAACTGGGGGTGTTGCAATTTTTTTATTTTGAAAATCTGATCACCCTTTTTTAACTCCAAAAAATGAGGTGAAATTTGAGTTTTTAGTCAAAATAGATTTGTAGTTAGATCTAGTTTACTCAAATACAAATCCCTTCTGTTTATTTTTAGTATCCAGTATCTCGACAAAAAGAAGCAAGGAATTTAAACCTGGCTCTTTTCATGCGTTTGTTTTGAATGTCCCAAAAATGGTCAGTTTTGGCCTGCAGTGTCTCGCCTTAACATTAAAGGTTGGAATCAGATCCATTTTTTTTAAAAGAGTCAAATCTTTTTCTTTCTTGTTTTTTATTCCTTTTTATACTGATTAACTCTGAACCAACTCAAAAAACAGCACAGAAGCAGAGTAGGCAACATGAGTGAGAGCTTTTTGCACTAAAAACAGATCTGGCTTCATAATAAGTTAGCTTTTACATTATTATTATTGTAGTGTGACGTTTTATTTAGATCATGCATCATTTCACACACATAAACACACTCCCACTCTTAATTTGAACCATTTTCAGCAGATCTGGGCCTTGGTCGTTTCTCTCTGATTTGTTGTTGTTGCTAAAAATAGTTCTCACACTGGTTTCTGTCTTTTGAATGGGTCTTTAAAATGAATGGATTCAAGGTTCAGGTCCCATAAAAGAGCGTGACATGTCAGTCTGCAAAATCAGACTGAAATCCGGGCCTAAAATCACTTCAGCGTGATTCTGTAGGCAACTGATGTACAAGCCTGATTTGAAAGAAAAATAAGACGCAATAATTGATTTTACTTTGTGTTTTACTTTAACTTACTCCAAAACACACATTCAATTACACAAATAACTTAAAATTTCTTTAAAGGTGCACTACGTAACTAGCCTTATTCATCAGCCGGTTTCACTTTGTGGAAACTGTCTTACCTCGCATTAGAATTTGTTCGCTCGACTATAGGCAGATACTTTTTATAGTTTAACCAATCACTGATATTTGGTCGTGATGTATGTAATGCGCCACTAACAGGGCTAACTGGTAAATTAAGCTTTTCCTAAATCCCATAGGAAAAAGGACAATAACATCTTTCCACTTGATAAAATTCACCAAACGTTCTCTTTGTTCTGGCTTTAAATTCTCAATCTTGGGAATCGTTGCCCACACAGAATGTATGACTCTTTGCTGATTGGCTGGTGCCCGAACTCACACTTCCAGGGTTTTTGTGAACAGTCTAGTGTATCCTGATTCCTGACCTAGTCGGGGGAGAGAAATGAAATTGAGTATAGACACTAGGTGGCACCAGCCTGGCTACTATGTTACTTTTGTAATGTAAAATTTCCGCAAGATTGTGTACACATGAGGAAAATTATATTAGATGTTTTCGCCCCCTTATATTTGAGGACTGGGTTTGGACAAAAAAGGGTGAAACGCTCATAACTGTGCTGGAATGACTGTTTAAAAAAAAAATAAAAGTAAGGCCCAAAATTGTGAACTGATGTGCACAATGTAGTTATAAATTGTTAAACTCTCATCTTGTCTCCTTCTTGTGGATGCAATCTTGTGTCCCGTCTCCTCTTGTGGAAAGTCCCCCCCCATTGCTATACCTAAAATGTTTGTAGATCTGTGGAGAGGCGAGGCTCTCAATAAAAACACCTGTAATAGAATACGTGCTTTGAATCTGTGGAACATGCAGGAAATGCAACATTAACCTCTCCATGAAGTCAAGAAAGTGGTCGACTCTCACAAAAAAAATTCCACAGTGAACTTTTAAATCAGCTTGGCAAATGTCTCCCTGCATATGAATGTAGTGCCCGACATTTAATAATTATGATGTGTAATGAAAGTGTAATGCATCTTTAGTTTGAACATGTCAGGTCTGTGTCTTGAGAGGTGTGTGTGTTGATGTGTGTGTGTCTTTGAATTGGCATCATTTGCTGGTACAGATAGAACAAAAGCCTTAAGCTACTTTACTTTTTCTTTTTTTTTCTTTTTTAATATGAAATATCAGTGGAATCATTTTATTAGTATTTCCCTTTCAGGTTCTTATTTCAAAAAAATTCTATGTTCACGTTTTACTGTAGTGTGTTTTGCAATAATATAATCATTCATTCAAAAGCTGTCTCTTGACTTCTTAAAGGGCCTACACTACACTGTTTTCTGATCTGTTTTAATGTAGTTTCCTCATCACAAACATACCTGGAGTTTTGTTTTGTTTCATTTACACATGTTTAACACCCTACATATTTAGGCTGAGTTTTCTTTCAGATAGAAAACAGTCTGTTCCACTAGAAATGCTGCGTTTTTAATAGAGGTCTAACGATACGATGCATATCATGATTTGCATGCCACGATTCAATATATCACGATATATCACAATACTAAAACAATGGATGATATATTGAATTTTATCAATAATTACTTTCAATAATATTATCACCTACACCTTCACGAGAACCAGACTGTATGAAATATTAATTATTACCTTTTTAAAATCATGAGAGCAGTGAATGCAACTAATGAATTTTAGTGAAAAATATTTTTAAAAATTGATTCAGATGCATTTTGAATCAATTCGAGAATTGTGCAATGAAATATCACAATATATCACTGAATCGATTTTTTTCTTACACTCCTAGTTTTTAAGCTCCATACACATTTACTAGAATGATATTTTAAGTTAAAAAAAAGTAGTTCGTGACCTAAAAATTACAATGACGTCACAAGATGAAACAGGATTTTGAGTGCTGGAAATGTAGATGATTAATAAAGGGTTACTCAAACGTGTGAATGAAACAAAGCAACTCCAGTATGTTTTTGAGGAGGTAACAACATTATAGTGTAATATTTAAATGCTTAAAGTTCACAAGAGTCAATTTAGCATAATATAGGACCATTTAAACCAGGCATGTCCCAACTATGGCCCGTGAGCCAAATACGGCCCTCAGACAATTTTTTTCTTGGTCCTCAGTCTTCCAGATTACCTTGCAACAATGAAAAATTAACTTTTTATTGCAATTTTTTATTTTATTTTTTAATCTACCTTGAAAAAGCTAATATTTAAAATTTTGTGTGTGTTTTTAAGGATCTTAACGTGAATAAAGACTGATGGCTCATTCTGACATGTTAAACCTGCACATATTTCAATTATTCACTGTACTGAGCACTAGTCTACAGCCCTCGATCGGCCCTCTGCTTCGTCTGTGTTTAGATATGTGGCCCTTGATTAAAAAAGTTTGGACACCCCTGATTTAAACGAATCAATTTAGACAGACATGTTGTATTGTTGTCTCTGCATTGTTTTGCTCAGTACTACGTTTGTGTGTTGCAGGCAGACTCTTGTGTCAGGACCTATCACTGGGCGTGTCTGACGTCGGCCCCGTGCGCTCCCAGACATGAGTGTAATCAGAGAATTGCATGGCCTGGGGTTCCGGGGTGGAGGGGGGGGTGGTGTCCTCTCTGAGCGGGCCTGCCCACTTCACTGAGGATGCTCCCAGACCCCCAGTGCCCGGAGAGGAGGGTGACGTGGACCCTCCTGCCTCGTACGCCAGCACTCGTCCCAACGCCCTCTCCCAAACCTTTCACCCTCCCTCATCCAAAATGGGCGACACCTCCACGTACACCCCCTCGTCCTCCTCCGCTACCCCCCGCCGCCCCGACTTGGACCTGGGATACGAGCCCGAGGGTTCTGCCTCTCCCACCCCTCCGTACCTGAAGTGGGCCGAGTCGCTCCACTCGCTGCTGGACGACCAGGAGGGCATCCAGCTCTTCAGAAACTTCCTGTGCCAAGAGGGCTGTGCCGACCTGCTGGACTTCTGGTTCGCCTGCTCGGGCTTCAGGCAGACCAGTCAGGAGAAGAGGGCCAAGCTCGCCAAGGCCATCTACAGGAAGTACATCATCGACGGCAGCGGCATCGTGTCCCGACAGATCAAACCGGCCACCAAGAGCTTCATCCGGGACTGCGTAGGCAAGCCCCATCCAGACCCGGCCATGTTTGAGCAGGTACACCTCCACAGACACATGCTCTTCACTCTGTTTGTTGCATTGACTTCAGTATATGAACGCTGGAACAATAGTTTTGGATGGGGGTCAGTATTTAGTGTGGGTACTTTTTCTTTGCACTAATGGGAAAGCTTTGGTTATTTTTTGGCTGTATGATACGATTTAAGCTGTAAAAGGTAACAATATTGTGAATTTAGAATAGTTTTTGTTGTTTAACTCTTTCCCCCTTGAAGACGACATTTGACGACCCCCCCTTGTTTCCTTAATGACGTCTTTTGACACCTCCACTGTTTCACTAAGGACGTGATTTGGTGACCATTAGAAATGGCTCGGTTTTTCACATTTAAACAGAGATAGGTGGAGGCCACTACAACCCACACTAGGCTGACCAATAGTATTCAATGATATGTTTTTGCGGATTTTTTCCAAAGTTAATCAAAGTAGTGACGATTGTAGCTTCCGGAAAAAAACACAACACGAAACCAGTACAATGGAAAGATTGTGCTGCACAGTTTTAGAAATAATAAGGAGTGGGTGTATTTTATGGATAAGTTTAGAGAAAGTGACTTTTATAGATTTCAAAGTGATGATGAGGGTGATTATTCAGTGGAAAACAGCGATAGCGACGGACTTTCAGAGAGTGAAACTTACGAAGGAGAGAATGCCGGTGATGCGTCCAGGACTTTTTAATTGATTATGAACCAAAATTGCTTTGAAATCTGGATGTTGCTTAGACGAGTCCTTTTGAAATATTTCAGTCTTTTTTCCAAGATACGATGTATGACAGAATTGCTACAGAAACAAACACTTATGCAGAGCTCTGCACACGAGAAAGTAACCGAGATAACATATACTCGGCACCCACTGATGGCGATGAGTTTTATTATTATATTATTATATTACTATATTATAATATTACTATTTTATAATAACCTAAATGAGTTGAATAAGCTAAATGAGCTAAATCTATTTGTTATTCCAACTATGATCTAAAACGAACCATCCAGGAAAAGTTGTGGAAGATCTGTGTGGAAACTGTTGACCTGTGGTGTAGGTGTTTACACGTCATGTTAAAGTTCAGTTGATTTAGACATGGTTCATATAAAATACTAGGGCTTTTGTCGTCTAAAGAAATCCTTGGTGGACCAAAGACACGTACTGCTGATCAGTTGGTCGATTAAAAAGGGAGCATGGCAAAAGCTCTCAAAACTATTCAATTTCTCTGTGTATCTGAAGCAAAAAATGCACTCACAAGACTACACTGCAGGGGAAGTCCATGTAAAAATACTATTAAAAAAAATACTATACAGAAAAAACTGCTAGGAAACAATGCATTTATATAAAGACAGATTTAACTTGTTTAACCTGGCTTTTTACATATGAATACCAAAAAATACAAAATGCTCAGCTCACTTACTTCTCCTTTCTGTTGTTGTCCTATACATTATACATTTAACATTTTTAATAATCAAAATAAAATTGATTAGTTGCCTAACACAAATTTTGGTTGACTAAGACTCCATCGCCTAAAGGACTAAAGGACTAAAGCACTACAGGCCTGTCAAATACCTTTCCAGACTTGTGCCCTGTGTATTAATAGTTCTCATTTGTGTATTTCTGTGACGTTTGTGCTTCAGGCCCAAACAGAGATCCAGGCCATGATGGAGGAGAACACGTACCCTCTGTTCCTCAAGTCGGACCTGTACCTGGAATTCACCCGCACCGGGGGAGAGAGCCCCAAACCCAACCCCAGCGACCAGAGCCCCTCTTCAGGTCCACCCAACACGGTGCCGGGGTACCTGCCCACGCTCGCCGAGAACGAGGAGTGGAGGTCAGAGCACACACTCAAATCTGAACTCTGTAAATGTCAAATCTCCACAACTGGCTAATGTCTGGGTAGAAGAATGGAGTATGCACTAAGGCCTTTGTGAAATGTCTAATTTATTTCTAAAATACATAAAAAAATAATGTTGACCAGTGCTGTACAGGTAATTAAGTACAAAAAACAGGCGACTGTCAAGCACTTTTGCAGACATTTAAAGGTCCGATATTACACAAGATTGACCCTTGTGAGCTATTTGCCATGTTAGAATGCTGTTACCTCCTCAAAAATAGACCTGGAGTTGTGTTTTGTTTTATTCACACATTTGAGTAACACTTTGATAGTTTGTCTCTATCTCCAATGTTCAAAATGCTCCACCTTAGATTTAGTTTTCAAGCTTAACAGCTGCCTTTTACCTTTTTTGTAGTAGATATTGGCAGTTCTAGGGTTGATTTTTGTGAAGGTGTATCGAGTTTAAAAACACAATGGAACACTTCTTGTATTGGGAATGGGAATGTGATGTCACACGACTCAGCCCACTGGGTGCCATGCTTTTTCCATGTTCGGTGTAGACTGGTTTAGTAAAAGTGGTGGATAACGTGCTGTCGATCTTTCCGGCATGGGACGAGCTTGTTCTGTTGCTGGGTGTTCGGCCCGTTCACTTGATCGGAATGGCAAGAAAATAGACAATGGAATATCGTATTGTTTTCCTGCGTGGAAACAGAGTCAAGGGAGCTAATGGGCTAGCAGATAAATGTGCTGGAGTTGAGCAAGGAGTCGTTGCCCAACAGCAGAACATGCTGTTTCATGGTAATCATGAAGCTAATCATGAAAATTTATCCCAACCGTGTTACAAACATTTGGGAAGCACTGCACCCTACACCAACTGAAAAGGCTTTAGAGAACCAACATACTTACCTTGGTACGAATAACGGTGCTTCCAGAGCTCTGCTGTTTGATGATTTCAAATCATGTACCCGACCTTTTTGAGCTTCCAAAGACTTATATTTCTGAAACTGATCATTGGTATAAACACTCACTCCACATACTAAATACACACAATATCTGAGAATATCAGCGGAGGTCAGGCGTCGGGGGCTTGAGTAGGGCTGTTGCAATATCTGCAAAAATAAATCACCGCGGTATTAAGAGGTCCACCACGGTGTATGTTGGGCCCCCGCGATCACCGCACGTGACCAACGTGACCTGACCCAGAATCCTGCATGGGTCCACTTTTAGAGACCCGCACCCGCCGAACCCGTTAATATTCCACCCGTTACCCGTCCAACCGTCCCCATGCCTGTGATATCCAGGACTAATCCAGGACTAAGGTGCACCCATGAAGACCGTCGCGTGACCGCAGGCGAAAGGACCGCTGCAGAGCTCTGCTCCGCACGGAGGTAAGTGCGGCTGTCGCCGATTGTGCTTTGTGGACACCTGCTCCTCCACACACTCTCTTAAGTCCACGGGTATCCGACCGGGTGCGGGACTCTGACCCGACCGGGTGCGGGACTCTGACCCGACCGGGTGCGGGACTCTGACCGACCGGGTGCGGGACTCTGACCCGACCGGGTGCGGGACTCTGACCCGACCGGGTGCGGGACTCTGACCCGAGCTGCCACAGTCAGAGCTGGAGAGATGCAGCAGCACTTGTTCCAAAGCCAAATGTTACTTCTCCCAGACTGCACATGCTGTATCCACACGACACCAAGATACATGTGCATCTGCACAACAAGCGCATCATCGGAGAGAGTTTTCAGTGCTGCTGGAAATATTGTTACTCCGGGGAATGTGGGGTGGGCGAGGGGGTGCGATATCAGCGCATACCGCGCTGTTCAGCTCCTATACCGCACCGCAGGAGAAATTCCCTAACTGCAACAGCCCTAGTCTGGAGTCCATTGTTTTGCAGGTATCTCATAAGGATCCCTATTAGTGATGGGCATTCGATGAAATTTTCTTAATCGATCGTCGGAAGAATTAACGATCGATTATCGATTAATCATTAACGTTTTTATATTAAAATGATCATCATTATTATTACTATCTGCACTACTAACCTGCATACATAAATTCAACTTTACGACATATAAACCGTAACGACTCTAGAGCCACATCAGCTGTTTGAAATTATAATGTGTTTAACGCAGTTTTGCGCAACTCTCACAAAAACGAAACTTAAAACCGCATCGCTAATTTGCAGAAACTCAGCGAAGAGAAAACTACAGCTCTTGTGTCGCTGATGCGGTCAACTTCTGTTGGATTAAAAGACATGACTCAGGTGAATACAGGTTAGTGTGACCAGATTTGCGTTTGTCAAAACCAGGACACCGTACGGGGGGAGGGAGGTGGGGACTCGTCATCGACATTGAGCGACTCTCACCTGGCAAAACTTTTTCCCACTGGACACCGAAACATATGTGTTGCTTTGTACACTGTGCACATGGACTCACACTTGTCCCGAACGCAACGGAAAGCGTGGAATTTCTTGTACAAGTCATCGTTAAATCCACATTTGCGTTGCAGACTTACCGACTGTTTGTGTCTCGCTCCTTCTGAGTGCAGAGCTACATGTACAGACCCCTGTTTGGTCACGCTACACACAGCAACCTACATTCGGTTTGTCGATTAAAATGAACGTAATCGATGAAATTCTTAATGATCAATTATTGATTAATCATGCCCATCCCTAATCCCTATCACTGATCAAACTGATTTTTTCCAAATAGCGTCTCCTTGCGTCCAACAGGAGTTTGTTCCTATCTAGACCGTAGCATTCTTTTCCACTAGTTTTAAGAATTCTAAACAAAACTATACTAAAGTGTAGCTACTATCTCACTTGCTCCTCACTCAGTTCTTCGTGCATACTGTCATGGCGACATGCATTATTTTTGCCCTAGAATGCACTGCACAGCCCACTTCCATTCCCATTCCCTATCACCACATGACATCACAAGGGGCAACAGAGCATTTTCCGTTTGAGAGAAGAACACTTCTGCAGTGTGTGTGTTTAAACATGTGTGAATGAAACAAAACACAACTTCAGGTCTGTTTGTGAAGAAGAAACAACATTTACATCAGAAAATAGCGTCATACGGACCCTTTAAATCATAGAACAATAAAACATGACGATGTTAAGTGTGATAAAAGAACTAAAACAAATCAGTAAATCTGAGGTTTACGATCAGTCCCTGTGAAAAATTTGTCATCAAGTTTTGATACTAGTTTTAGTATCGATTAGTATCTGTTTTCTATTTTTTTTTTTTTTTATATCCCTAGTCAAATCGTAACAACTTCAAATATTTGGGTGTCATAATGTACTGTGCAGTGGGCTTTTCAAACTCTCAGGCCACATACCTGATCTGATAGAAAGTTAAAAAGATAAAAAGACATTTTTTATTTCTCTCTGATGTCTTGTACACCTGCTGACCATGTTGTTTCAAACTAGGGCTGCCAGAAGTATCGAAAAATCAGATGCTAATCAATACTAACATTATACTGAAATAAGATACTCATTTGAGCAGGTATCAATACTAAAGTCCCATTGACAGAACAGAAATGAGCCTTTCCTGAATGTCTGTAGAATGAACTTGAGCTGCATCAGAATCATAAGAGCACATAGACTAGTATACACCCATGGACCACTATGAAATTTAGCTGGACCGCTGAGGGATTACACAGAGAAATGGTAAAAAATAGTGTTTTTTATTATTATCGTGGTATCAGAATTGTTTTTGAGTGTCGAGTCTATTCCTTAATATTGAAATGGAGTTTGAAATATTTGTAGTATTGTTGTCGTGATACTGAAGTAAATGTGATTGTTTTTAGGTTTACTGTGTTTTGTCATTTGTATGTTTCTGAACATGTTTCAGATGTGGACTGTGAAATGCTTTTTGTAACTATACCAGTTTTAATCACAGTTGCCATATTTGTCCCAAAATAGTATTTGAATATTTATCCTCAAAAGTATGAGTTGTGAATAGAATGTTGTTGTGTTTAGGTGTGCAGGGGCGCAGGAGGCCGAGGAGGACAGAGATGCAGAGTGCTCGGACACTCCGGCCAGCAGACTGACCCACAGCCTTTTAATGCAAACTGCCCCCCAGAGGGCAGTAGTGAGCAGGAGGAGGCCTGACAGCAGGGAGTACAGGTAACCTCTTCACCAAGCTGTCTCTTCACACCTGCACTCAAACTACTGTGTTTGGCTCATGTTATTTTCAGTTTAATAAACAGCATGTGTCTGATAAGCACACAGAAGTACACATTAGCACACATTATTACACATAAGTACACATTAGTACATGTTTGTGCGAGTTACATTATTGTAAAAATCATGATCAAAGGTAGATTATGTGTGATTTTTGTTGTTGCCCTTGATTTCAACTTCTTAATTTTTGTACTGATAAAAACAGTTAAGTTGATTTATTCCCAGTTAAAAACATTTTACGTCAGTGAATAGTTTGTGTTCTTATACACAAGCTGATAATTTAATCAGAAACTAGAATTAGTTTTTCATTTTTTGTTGCCAAAACCACTTTGCTTTAACCTACAGAGATATGATTTGTCTAGAGTATAGAACAGATGACTGCATCCCACATTCTGTAGTGATTTGTAACACAGTAATAGGTGTGAGAGAAATTCCATTTCTGTGCTGTACTGAGAGCACTCACTGCCAGCTCAGCTCAGCACAGAAATGGAATTTCTCTCACACCTATTACCGTATTACTCTCTCAGTGGGTTCATCTGATTAATTCAATAACTGAATGAATAGCTCGTTTTCACAGACTATTAGAATCCATTCATTTGACCGTGCTCATTGCCCTTTTGAACTGCTCGTGAATGCCCTGTGTTTGTGCCCTCAGACCCTGGAGAGAGCCAGTGAACCCATACTATGCCAACCTGGGCTACGCTCGCGCCCCCGCCACCAGCGCCAACGACAGTGAGCAGCAGAGCATGTCCAGTGACGCAGATACTATGTCCCTGACCGACAGCAGCATGTGAGTACTGCACACAGTGCACTCCCCTCTGAGTACTGCAGTACACACAGTGCACTCCCCTCTGAGTACTGCAGTACACACAGTGCACTCCCCTCTGAGTACTGCAGTACACACAGTGTACTCCCCTCTGAGTACTGCAGTACTGTAGAACACACAGGTGCACTCCCCTCTTAGTCCTGCAGTACTGCAGTACTTTGGGTATTAGGCAGTGGAGTCTCTAGTAAACCCTGTGTTTTAACCTGAGTTTTGTTCTGTGTGCAGAGATGGGATTCCTCCATACAGGTTTCGAAAGCAGCATCGAAAAGAGATGCATGAAAGTGCCAAAGCAAATGGACGTGTTCCCCTACCTCATATACCTGTGAGTCACTGTGTGTGTGTGTGTGTGTGTGTGTGTGTATGTATGTACATTCTGTTTTACAAACACTGCTTCAAATCAACTCTGATCACACTTTGTGTTGTGCCCCTGTGCAGCGCATGTACCGCATGCCAAAGGACATCCACGTGGAGCCAGAGCGCTTTGCAGCCGCCCTCATCAGTAAACTGGAGACAGTGCTCCGAGAGCGCGAGGCTCAGGAGAGGCTGGAGGAGAGGCTCAAGAGAGTACGACTGGTGAGTGGACCAGAGGCCCTGTGGACCAAAGGCTCTCGTGTCCTGTGGACCAGAGGCCCTGTGTGTTTTTTGTGTGCCTGGAGCACAGAGTATTACTTGTAGAAAATGTGCCCAGACTAAAGCCCATGTGTGTTGTGCTCCACAGGAAGAAGAGGGTGACGATGCAGACAGCTCCATGACCGCCTCCATGTCGTCTCACAGTATACCACTGTCCCTGCCCCCCACTTTCCCCCCTCTGTACGGAGCCCGGTACTGCGAGACCACCCCCGCCTGTGCCCCCACGTACGGGGGTCTGGTGGCCATGGAGGACTCCCATGAGGACGACCCCGAGTCCATCCTGGACGAGCACGTGCAGCGGGTCATGAAGACTCCGGGCTGCCAGTCTCCAGGAGCAGCCAACAGCACCTTAGGGGGGCGCCACAGTCCTCCCAAATCCTCCCGCTCCCCTGACGGAGGCACGGGCCCTCCACACTACCCCCCACACCGTGCCCTCCCCGCCTCCGGGGCCAAAGGTAATACTACTGCCTTACTATATAGATGGATTTATATTTAATTTTTCTTTAGCAAAATGTAAAGGTTTGAGATATTTGAGATATTGAATATTTCTCAGGAACTGATTGATGTTCAAACTAAATCATTTAGGCTAATTAGTCTAAAATCTGATCCCAGTTTCATCTGTCAAATACTGCTGACTAAAACAATAGATTGTAATTTAATAGTGTGGCTCAATCAGCTTTGTTACTAATGATGTTTTGTTGTGTGTGTGATAGGCATGCATCACAAACAGACGTATCACCACAGAGGCAGAGAAGCACAGGAAGAGGCAGGCTCTAGGTCCCAGGCAAACTTCCTGTGGAACGGAGAGAGCGGCAGGAGCAGGAACTACGCAGACGGAGCAGGGGGCAGTAATGTGGAGGGGCTGGGCTACAGGTCAGTGCACCTCCTCCACCTACTGCACGGCCTTATGGAGACCACAACATGTCTCCACCACAGCACACAAACACAAGGAGCTCTCACCTGACACTAAACGCCACTAGAAGCAACCAAATCAATGTGACAAAGTGCACATTCAAATTACAGTCATATTATAGATATTTTTGTTTGTAAAGTTCTTCAGAGAAATATTTAGCTCCTGAAGGCACTTTTGAAATAATGAGAACAATGCACTAAAAAGAAAAACTAAGTCAGTGTTTTTTGTTTTTTTGTTGTTGTTTTTTTTAAATTGGGGGTATTATTCAAAATTGTCTTTCTGCCATGTTGGAGCTTTTTATGGTGTTCTAACTTTGTTCCCTCGTGCATGTTTAAGAAATTTAGTGATCTCTCTCTGGCCCTATTCAGACCCTCCTTACGGTTAACTGGAAGATTCTGTCTAATGCTTCACTCGCAAACCCATGCTCGCACACGACAGTTCTCCAGAAATATGAAAAACCTGGTCAAACTGTACAATACAACTTGACAAACCTGATATGACATGCAGTAGTTTCATTAGCAGGATGAATGCTGATTCATCAAAAACAAAACTTATAAAACATGTTTTTCTGTAAATATTGCATTTTTCAGTAAAGGGAAAATTGATTATCTAAATACATAAGCAGCAAATACCCCACAGAAGTGTAATAGCCCCTCTTTAACAAACCACTACCAAATCTTCATGTTTGTTGTATGCTTCTTTTCCAATGAGCTGTGATGACTTGTTGTTTTCAAAAGTTCTGGTGGTGCACTGACACTCCCCTTGTGCTCCTACAGCAGTAAGGGCAGCACACTATCGCGGCGAGGGGGGAAGAAGCCCGAGGCGGCGGGTAAAGGGGAGGAGTCTGTACGGGCCTCAGACGCCCCGGTGCCTCTGGAGGACATGGAGAGGAACCAGAAGATCCTGCAGTGGATGATGGAGGGAGAGGCGCTCCGGCACAAGAAGAGCTCACACGGGTACGGGCCGAGCACCACGCTGGGGTTATACGCTTTCAGACATGTCATGGCAGTACTCTAAACCAGGAGTGACAAAAAGCACTGTCAATTGAGAATTTAGTTGGGTTCATGTGGGAATCCTTCTCAGTGTTTCCCATTAATAGAAGCGACTATGGTGGCCCCAATAGTCTAAAATCCATCAACAGAATCCTATTAAAACAAATGGCAATATTTGACTAAGAAACTGCAATTAGTTATTTTTCCCAAATGGTGCTGCTCTACCTTCTTAAGATTTCAGATTTTTGCAGTCTAGTTCATTTAAACAATTTGCAGTGGTTATTCCTCAGTTACTTTAAGCATTCTGAACATCCTAATTATTCACCGCTATGAATTTGAGTTTATAAGCGCTTTTCACAACTCTCGGGTGTGATGGTAAGGCTAACAACAACTAGCATGCTGACACATACTTCCATATTCTGCCCTACAAAGGCAAAAGAGCTTAACTCTCCAGAGTGTGAAACTGAGAAAAAATGACTTCAAAGTTTCTGTTTTGTCCAGACAAAAGTAGAATAGGCAGGGCTCCCAAAATTTGACAACTAGTTTTTATAAGTTGTTATTGTATGTGAAAAATACTGAGCTCAAAATTGACCTTTGACCTTTATTTGTCAGTTCCTGTTTTCTGCCTTTGTATCATGAGCCAAAAATAAGGAGTTGTGCAAAGGCAAAAAGGCAGAAACTGACATGATCATTATTTACTTGATTTTCTCTAGACTTTCATCCATTCTAAGAACACTTCACCAAGCTCCAGTCATCATGGAGTTTGTTTGAAATGATCTCGAAGAGCTTGTTAAACAGTGTGACACACAAGTGATTTTGCAGTATGAATAAATACACCAAATACTTTCACATTAAAGATCACGGAAGTATAATTGAATATAAAGTCTTATTTATTGAATGTGTTGAGACCCTGAGCCAAGGCCGCAACAAAAAGGAGGTGAGAGGCCAGAGGTTGGAACTGACAAATAAGGGTCAAAGGTCAATTTTGAGCTAATATTTTTTCACAGTATTTATTTATTCACATGATAAAAGAGGTCTCAAATACAAACAAAATGACATGAACTCATTTTTGACACTTCATAATTGGGTGCAGACTTATTTAAACCTAAAAAGCTGCTTATGCAATATATGTGTGTAAGATCAAAGTTTGCTCAAATACATGGGGACAGTCGTCGCTCTCCTGACTGTACACACTCTAAAATGCATGAAAAGACAGTGGAATTTTTAAATTAAGATCAAAAATCTAAATTTCTCTCTCTTTTTTTTTTTTTGTCAATAGTAGACTTTATTTCTAAAAATTATTCCAAGAAGCCTTCAGTCAGCACTTTTCAGCTTATTCTTGATAATGCTTTTAACAAGTCTCCATGAACAATCAACTGAAAAAAAAAAGAATCTTTGACTAGCTCACTTCTAAATAATAACTGACATGACACTACAAGACAAAAAGCCTTGTTATAATTAGAAGCAGCAGTCTTGTTTTCTTAGACAAAGTTTTCTTATATACATGGAAAAAGATGTGAAAGCGCTGCTAAAATTATCACGGTGAATAATGAGGAATGCATAATTCTGAATGCATAAGGTACATGAGGAACAACTTTGCTCCACTCCAATAAATGAAACAGTTTTTCCTGTTTTTAAGACAGTCAAAATCCGTTACAGAGCTTTTTTAATGGAGTGACTTTGGTGACCCTAATCCTAAAAAAGATTCCAGGATTCTGTGGTTTGTGGATATTTCTTTCACTCACAGATCTATAATGTTCCGTGTCCTCTGAAATATTAACATCAGATCCATGAACCCATGATCACTTTTATGGGAGCCAAAACTTTTGGATCCATTCATTTCAAAGAGCTGTTCAGAAGACTGACTCTTAGTAGTTATTTATGATGGAAGACAAACTAACAACAAACTAATCACAAAGAGAAATGATTCAGGCTAACTGGTCAAACTGAAAGTGGGAGCATGTTTACCCACTGAAATGATGCTTAAATAAAACGTTGCACTATAATAGTAATTGTAATGATCATAATCATAATCACAGCCTGATATTGGACACAGTAGCTGACATGTGTGTCCTGTGTGTCGTGTTCTTTCAGTGGAAGCACCAGTGGCTCCAGGAGAACAGGGACCAGCAGTGAGTCTCCGCGGCCCACCTCGGTGGAGCGTCCCGGGGCGGTGCACCCGTGGGTGTCTGCTCAGCTCCGGAACAACCCCTCCTCTGTGTCCCCCGCCATCCCATCTGCGACCAGCCAAGTGCAGCCTTCACATCCATTCATCCAGGACCCAGCCATGCCCCCCAACCCGGCCCCGAACCCCCTCACCCAGCTGGAGGAGGCGAGGAGAAGACTGGAGGAGGAGCGGAGGAGGGCGGCCGCGCAGCAGGCCAAGCAGAGGTAAAGTAAAGCTCACTGTGCCTAGAGCATCAAGCACTGATGAACTGATTTTATACTTTATTTTCTATCCAACCCCCCAAATGCTCTGGAACAAACCAAAACTTAAATAAGATAAAAAAGTGAATAAGTACTTGAATCATGCAGCATTTCACTTTGATTTCTTTTAAAAATTAAGAATAGCCAGTGGAACAACTATACAATGACTTGTTTTCTTAAAATAAAATAATAAAAAAAATATATCTTGGATCGATAGACACAGATAGATATAGATATACAGATAGATGGATAGATTTTAATTAATCCCATACTCTACCTACCAATCTACATGGAGACGAGCAGGCAACGCTACAAAGTCAAGTTACAGTTAGATTTGTGGAGAGGCCTTTATTTTGAAACTTTTTGTAAGTGACTTTTGTAAGTTTTGGAGTGACTTATTTTGTTAAAAGGCAGAATACATTTTAGTTTCTAAAATCACATACACTTTAACAGTAGTTTTGTTGTCAATGGATCAAACATGAATGAGACTTTGAGAACCACATTGTGATTCCCTTTGTGTGTGTTTGTGTGTATGTAGGCACAAATCTGCGAAGCGAGTGGAGCGCTGTGAGAACATGACGGTGGCCTATTACTTCTGTGGAGAGCCCATCCCCTACAGGACGTCTGTGAAAGGGCGTGTGGTCACTCTGGGACAGTTCAAGGAGCTGCTTACCAAAAAGGGCCACTACAGGTGAGGCAAACTATTCATCTATTCTGTATGGATTATTTCATCTGGCAGTGCTTTTTTTTTGGACTAGTTTTTAGTTCGTAAAGAGCACATGAATGAGATACATACTTTTATTACAGATGAAGTTTGAGTGTATTTGCAGACACATTTTAATGTTTTCATATTTTATTTTGCTGGGTCATAAAACTGCATTTCTCTCTCAGCACATGGCAAATTCTGGAGTCTTTGTACAAAAATAAGATGAAGATGACTTGATTACTAGTCCTACATTAGCTAAGTGCTATTATCATTAGTTATGATTCATGCTGCGTCTAAACAAGTCTGAACACCAAAGTGGGTGTTCAGACTTGTTTGCGTTCATGTGCTTTTATCTCTGAAAGTCGGGGTTACCTGCGTGAAGTTGGCCCCCCTCAAACACAACCTACACAAAAACTGTCAGTCATTTGTGTTTTGTTTATGTGGTTTTGTGTAAGTCAATATTATTATATAAATCATGAATCAAAAGCAAGTTACTTAAGACTGAAACAGACTTCCACAGCCTCAGATTGTTTCTTTTCTCTAGTTTTGCAGAGTTTTGCTAAAACACTGACATGTGTGTGAAGTTGGCCCTGACATGTGCAGAAATTATGTTATACAATTGCCACAAAAATAATAATGATTAATTTTTGAAATTTACTAGCACAAATGAAATACAAACATTTCATACAATTTTCTGCCTGTTTTGAGTGCATTTAATATTTTAAGGGCTGGATGACGTCATCGGCCCAAAATAAAACTGTGAACATAAACAAAACTTTTATTGCAGCACAAACTAAGCACAAATGATAGACACCATTTTGATCATTTTAGAGCATTTTGGAGCTTTCTGGGGACTGGCTGTCCTTAATTTGACCTATAATATAATTGTCAATAATATCTCCAAAACTAAAGCAGCACAAACAAAACTGCAAAACCTTTTTGGATGCGCAAACGAAGCACAAACAATAGACATAGTTTTTGTGTAGGTTTGCCTTTGATGGGGGGCCAACTTCACGCACATGTCAGGGCTTTGATCTCATTTAATCTTTTTAACACTGTTTAATAGAGCTAACTAGTAAGATTTGTTCTTGGCATTTTTGAAAGTTATTTGTTTTGAAAGCATCTTAACATTTTTACTTCAACTAGTGTTACATCCTTAATTACACAGTAGGCTAGTATTACTTATGCAAATCTGTTGCTCTTATAATGGAGGAAACTAAGAGTCACTTAGTCATTTAGTCAAAAGTCAAAATGTATGTGTGGTCATGTGTGGTTTTCAGCTCTGAAAAGCATTTTGAGTTCTCGAAAACCACATAAACACAGCATTATATCACAATGAAGACTTCTTTTCCGAGATGTGTGTGTTTACACTGGGTCCCTGTTAAATAAACTGAACAAATTAAGTACCAAGGCCGCTCAAAATCTAGAACAATTGCTCCTGTATGACCATATCTTAACTTGCATTATTATAGTTCTAAGTATACATATATGAAGTATAAGTAATATCCTTCCATTGTCCTGTGCTTGCGCAGGTTCTACTTCAAGAAAGTCAGTGATGAGTTTGACTGCGGCGTCGTGTTTGAGGAGGTGAGGGACGACGACGCCATCTTGCCCATCTTTGAGGAGAAGATCATTGGGAAGGTGGAGAAGGTGGACTGAAGCAGAGGGCGCTAGAGCCACACGGAAGCAGGCAGAACGCACGGACAGGGGTTCGAACCTCAGGAACGCTTGAAGAACGTCGACGGATGGACAGAGCCAAGTGAAACAAAAACCAGAACGGTGACGCAAGTTTTCAAGATGGCGGTTGTATGAATAGAACCAGGTGCCTCCTCCACAGGTTTCTCCGAGGTTCCACTTCCACTACAGCGGACTCAGACGGACAGGATCAGTAGTCTTCCGCAGACCAGTTTTAAAATGCTGCTACATTACCACAAACTCTCTCGTTAAAAAAAAAAAAAAGGTGCTCGCCAATGTCCTGAAAGTGCTTTTTTTCGCTCCCCCCGCTGGAGGCTTGCTGTCTGGGGGGAGCGAGCGAGGGGGAGGCGGGCAGAGGATGCTGGGAAGTAGAGTCCCTCTGCCCCTCCCGCTCACTCAAAACGTAGTAGTGGTTTTAACCGCGTAGATGTCACGGCCACACGGAGACGCGATTTCTCTTGTTTACCAAAGCGACATATTTTTCGATGAGACGAGTATTCTAGCTACTTGTTTTGCATTTTATTTCTGTATGTACAAGGCAGGTACTTCTAATGCAGCCCAATTTTTTTTGTCATATCTCAGTACAAATGTATTTTGTGTATGTTTCTAAGCTAGTTCATTTGCCATTTTGAGGACAGCTGAGAACTTTTATTATTATCGCATATCTATATCTCGTAATGGAACTACACCAGGCCTTCCTGATGCTGACCATGTCCTGGTTTAGGGAGGTTTCACACTACAGCTACCTTAGGCCGCTCCCTACTGCTTACCGCAAGAATAACAGTGTTTCCCATTAATACAGGAGACTATGGAGGTCCCGCATAGTTTAAAACCTGAGCTATATATTGGCATAACAAAATTAGACTTTGTTGCTCATTGCATTATCATACACATGAAACAGACTGTTTATAGGTCCCATAGTGCGCTTTTTCTGATCTGTGTTATAATGTTGTTTGAGTTGTGTTTTGTTTCAGTCACACTTGTTTAACCAAACTCCATACTAGAATCATTTGGACAATTTCAGCTCTGGAATTGCCAGTCTGTACTGAAGTAGCTGGTAACCTGAAAACCACCACTTGATGACATCTTAAGGTGGAACAGAGCATTTTGAGCTTTGGAGAGGGTTAGTCAAACATGTAAATGAAGCAAAACAGGACTCCAGGTATGTGTTTGAGGAGGTAACAACATTCCAACATGGCTTAAAGTTCAGTTCTTAAAGAGTCAAGTCCACGTAATATAGGACCTTTTAAAGATTGAGGATTGGATGATGTCATAAACATGAAGTGACATTTATGCTCCATGAAATGATTCAAATAAAATAATTACTGCCACCATAGTTTGACTAAATCAATGGGAAACACTGAGAATAACCACTTGTATGTTCTCCTCATTTGTCTGACAGACCATCAGGCCTGTGCGTTCCACAGTTTTTATTTAGTTTATTTTTTTTTTTATTGTGCAACGATTTATTCAAATCAACAGTCATCACGTTTGTACAGTGCCTCTGCCAAAAGCGTTAGAGCAAAGCTGATGTATCCTAAAGTCTCCCCTCCTTGTGCTTCTAGCCTCCCCCGGCACAGCTGAGGAGAGTGAATGTACTCCGCCCTCAGCTCGTACACACGTACACACACAGGCACGCACGTGTGTCACCTTTGTGCTGTTTAACTGAATGTGGTGTCACACACACCAGGCCTCTGGAGGAATGTTAGAATATTGATTAGACATTGGAAAACAAGTTAACTTTATTCAGCCCATTATGCCTTTAATAAGCAAAACCATAGTTTTAATGTATTGTTTATAAAAAAAAAAAGTCATTTGAATAATCACCAAGCATGTTCTTTTTAACCAATGTTTCCTGATGAGTTGAATATCTATTTTATTTGATTGTTTATGATAAACTTTTATGGCCCTATGATATATTTTATTGGTTTTGTTCGAATGCCCAGGGACAGTTGAATGACATTATTCTCAAGTGTCTTCTGTGAGTTTGTGTGAAACCCAGTGCCTTTCCCATAAGTCTGTATGACCCATGCTTTGACTGTATTTTGATGCAGGTGTATTTAGCTGACTGGCTCTGGTCTAATAGAAGCGCTGCTGTAAATATGTACATTCTCATTTCATACAGAGCTGCACCACGTCCACATGTCACTGTGCTGGTTCCACTTGTACATTTCTTTTCAAAAGGTACTTCATAATAAAGCTGTTGAATCAACATGAATGGACTTGATTTATAAACTTCCCTGATGTACATGAAAAATATGGTGATGGAGCGAAGTAATGTATGATACAGAGGTAACAGCAGAGGTATTTTAAGCACACAATATAACGGTACGATATAATACAGAGGGGTTATGATAGAGCTAGGCTGTGACATCAGCTCAGCAATATTTGACCTCATTTATTATGCATGGTCAAACAATATAGAGCACACTGTCCATTAAAATCCTAAATAGTGCGCACTGTCAGGGTGACTGCAAGCTTACTCACTGTACATGTACACTGTGCATGATCTGCCAGGAGAGGGCGCTGTAGACACGTACTAGGAGCTCTGAGAGTGTTTTTCAGATTTAGGCCTAGTTTGATCCTTCGAAGTTGTAATGAATAAGACGATAAATTAACATGGACATAGTATTATATTTAGAATGATAAAAATGACAGATGGTAATTTTTTACATACCAGTAGTGCTTTTCCATCTTCAGGATTCAAGGCTTCAAAGCACTTCACATCAAGGAAATCATTCAACCATTCACAAACACTCATACACCAGTGTGTCAAGTGAGGATGAGGTGTGCTAAGTGTCTTGCCCAAGCTGGAATCTCACTGCCAACATTCAGATCAGAGGACAAATATATCAATTGAGCTACTGTCGAATGACTAGCATTCATAGATTAAGATTAGTAGTATGTAATTTACTCCCATAACTTTATTATTCTTTTTCTGTCTTATGAGAGGGTAAAAGGTTTGAGAATAACTCTCCCCTTCATGATATATGATATAATTAATACTAATATAATGATAAGGAAAATAATGTAAATCTATCACGCTCATAGCACCATAATAAAACATATTATAGATCTATGATCAGGCTCATGGATCTATAATAAAAACTTGATAGGATTCTGATTGGATTCTTTCTTTGTTTTTTTTTAATTTTTATTTTATTTTTTTATGATCACGTGGGACTGTTTACAAACTGTAGCCCCGCCCCCTTACTCATCAGACAGGAAACTACGGAAGCCTTTTCACCCAAAACCAAACATGGCAGCCACAGCTCCAGACAGCTAACAGAACTAACACAATGTGGTCGTTTTAACGCTTTATTTCACTAATTAAATCTTTTGCAATGCAAATGCATTTCCGATTACATTAAATCACCTGTAATATGCGTAGCATTTATGAATCCCCGCCGGAGTTTTCGATAGGCCGTGTGTTATTGTTATTGCCGTGTTAGCCGTGAGCGATGGACGCGCTGAGCGCCCTGGAGGATGAAGTGGCTCTGGAGGGTTTGGACGGGATCACGCTGCCGTCTCTGTGGCTGCGCCTGGAGGACAGAAAGCCCAAGTTCCCGCAGAAGATCGACCACTTCACCAAGGCGTTCCTCTGGATTTCCCTGGTCCACAACCCCGACATCAGCTTCTACGAGCAGCCGCAGGAAAGGGACGATGTGGAGCTCTACGACAGGTGAGGAGACAGGAGAGGAGACATGAGACAGGAGAGGAGACAGGAGAGGAGACAGGAGAGGAGACAGGAGAGGAGAGGAGACTTGAGACAGGAGAGGAGACAGAGGAGGACAGGTGTGTAGCTCTACGACAGGTGAGGAGACAGGGGAGGAGAAGAGACAGGAGACAGGTGAGGAGACAGGGGAGGACAGGTGTGCAGCTGTGTGACAGGTGAGAGGACATGAGATGCAACAGAATCTGAAGGTAGATTTAAGAATGGCTATATTGAGTACCTGTTCTTCACTGATATTAAAGCAGTTGTCAAATCTAGATTTACTCATCCTGGACAGAGAAGCCCATGTCATGACCAATGTTACATCTATAAAGTTTACAGTTCTGTGAATCCTGATGAGCTCCAGAGGTGCTGCTCTAAGCCCTGGATGATCCTCCTCGTGCAGTGTGTGTGTGTGTGTGTGTGTGTGTGCTGTGCGTGTGCGTGTGTGTGCTGCACTGGATCAAACTGAACAGATCACTGCACAGGTCTTGAGTATCAAGTATCATCAGTGTATGATTGGTTCATTAAGAACTTGTATTCCTGTTCTGGTATGGTGAAGCATATCGAGGGTTTTCCTCAGTCTTGAAATTGAGTTTTTAAGTTTTTGGAAAATAAATGTGAATTTTAGAGCCAGAGTTGCTTCTGTAGTGTTCATAGCTCCATTATAGTTTAGTAACAGTTGTATTTAAAATGCTGCAGTGTGAAAATCACTATACATTACATTTGTTATTAAACTGTCCTTGTCTTGTGTCTTTTCCAGGTTCCAGAGCGTTGACCCGGACACAGGCATAGAGTTCAAAGGTCACTCGTTTGAGAACAGGAAAGATGTGTACCCTGCACACTTCATCATGGAAAACCCAGATGGGATCCAGGGCTCCTGTGTGTTCTTTACCCAGAGGAAAGATGTCACCAGGCAGATTCGCTCAGCCTCCTTCTCCCCTCTGCTCAGCCTGGAGCAGGCCTGGGACAGGTGCCTTTCTCACTACAGCATGGAAACATGCTCTAGAAAAGACTTAGTAGGATGGGTACCACATGGGTTTGGTGTTACATTCTAGGGTAGCAACTAACGATTATTTTAGGAGTCAATTAGTCAGCGATACTTATTTTGACTAGTCAACTCATCTTTTGACTGAAACTCAATAAGGTACAGAAGAACTCCCCCAAGTTCCTGTCCATCTCTTTTATTGAGTCATTAATACCAAATTGACCACATGTTTCTGCCGCATCCTACATGTATCACAGATTAAGAAGTATGTGTGTCTGAAGTACACAGTGGGTGTGTACTGGTGGCGGTGAAAACTGGGGTAGATCAGAGTAATGACATGTTGAATACAGAAGAATAAAGATTACTCAACTAGGTATGAATCACTCTAAATACAACAGTTACAATGAGAAGGGAACAAATGTGACATGGTTAAAAGCTCTAAAAAGTTAATTGTGCAGAATAGGTGTAATAGATAATGTAGAATAGTGTAAAAATCTGTAAATGTGCAGACCCCCTGACAAAAACAGCCGTGGGGATCATTGCTACAAGTCTGCAAAGTTGAAGTGTTGCTCCTGGCCTCATACCCCCTCTGTGTGCTCCATGTGCTCTGTGTGCTGCTCAGGTTCGGCAGGAGGCTGGTGGTGGTGGCCTCTCAGAAGGTGCGTTTCCGGGCTCTGATTGGGACAGAGAGCGACCCGGAGCTGAAGCTGTCTGATGAGTCGTACTGTGTGCTGGAGCGGGTGGGACGCTCCCGCTGGCAGGGGGAGCTGCAGAGAGACCTCAGTAACGGACCCTTCAAGTAAGACACTCCATCTTAGATTTATCACATTATTCATGTCAACAGCTTTGCATTCATGTTTTTAGATGATAGACTACTTGAAAAATTTTTGATCTTAATTTACCTGATGTTTTTTTCATGTAACAAAATAAAAATGGTCTTGCCTCAGTACAGATATATTGTAAAAGCAGCTATTAGGCTCAAAATGAGACCGTTGTGTCCTGTCTGCAACTGATTATAACATTTCAACGGAAATAAACCGGAGGAGGCCTTCCTCCAAGCCAAATAGTAGAGTCAGGTTTGTGGAGATGGAAGTAAGCTCTCAGTAAGGACAAATATGTTTGTATGATTTGTCAGTGCAATAAACACATTCATAATGAAAAAACTTGAAGTCTATATACTGTATTTTACGTGCTATTAGGCGCTCTGGATTATAAGACGCACTGTCATTAAATGGTCTGTTTTTGAACTTTTTTCACAAATAAACCACACCGGACTTTGTGGCACATTGCACTAGCTTTTTCAGTTCCTTCCTCCGTTCCGTTCTTCATCGGCGTGCAGTGATGAGTGTGTCTGTGGGTGTGTTTCGCTGTGCGGTCGCTGTCTGCTCTGTGTGTGTTTGCGTGTGCTGCGGGTGGTGCGGCTTTGTAGTTTACTGAAGTCGTGGTGGGACGCCCGAGTGGATTCGTGCTTGCAGGGGGCGCGGTCGTTTTTTGATAGGGTTAGAGGCTTAAGAGCACGTCTAATAGCCCAGAAAATAACGGTAAACATTAAAAAACATCAAGATCCTCTTACATATGTCTCCTTTAAACCTGTTTCAAATATTCATGATGAGTTGTAGATATTCTGATGGTAGTGCTTGTGTTTGGATCACGTGCCGGGAGTACCACACATATGGCAGTGGTGGGGTTTGGTTAAACAGCTGCTCCTGTGTTGTGTTGTCCAGGATCGAGGCACGTAAGATCCACTACCTGAGGAAGTCCCTGGTGCATCACAGCCTGGTGACAGTGCAGTCCCACGTGTGCCGTCTGAGCACAGGCACTCAGCAGCACTCCTGTCTGCTGCTGCTGCGCCGTTTCCACGTCAACAGGTCTGTGCACCAACACCAGCGACAGCACCACCTTTTACACTCCTGCACTACAGCTGTGTAAATCTAACAGTGGTTTACACATTCTACAGTGTGATGATGTCATTCTCTCAGAGGGGAAACTGAAATATCCATTGAACCTGATCCCAGTGATCCAGAACTCACTGTGTTACAACAAACATCTGCAGGGACTTTTATGAGCTTTTATCCATGTTAAAATGCTGTTACCTCATCAAAAACATACCTGGAGTTGTTTTGTTTCATTCATTATTAGTCTGTCTACATCTCCAAAACTCAAAATGCTCCTGAAATCTCACGTAGTGGTAGTTTTCAAGTTAACAGCTACATTTTAACTTTTTGTTCAGTAGAGAGATGCAATTCCAGGTCTGAAATCAACCAAATGACTCTTGTGAAGGTGTGTGGAGTTTAAAAACACAATGGAGCACTTCCTGTATTCCCACATGACATCACAAGGTGTTTTCTGTTTGAGAGAAGAACTCATCCGAAATATGCAGAGTGTGTGTTATACATGTGTGAATGAAACAAAACACAACTCCAGATCTCCTGAATCTAATGTGGTCTTTCTCCTGACCTGAGCAGGAGGAGTAAATATGACATCCTGATGGAGCGAGTGTCCAACATCCTGGAAGCGTCTCCTGGGCAGCATTGCACTCAGATGGCCCTCCGTGAGCACCTGGTGAGCAGCTCCACACAACTCCACCAGGCAAATTCTCCACACTGCTCCTCCACACAGCTCCTCCACACAGCTCCTCCACACAGCTCCTCCACACAGCTCCTCCACACAGATCCTCCACACAGATCCTCCACACAGAGCTCCTCACTCCTCCACACACACACAGCTCCTCCACACAGCTCCTCCACACAGCTCCTCCACACTGCTCCTCCACACAGATCCTCCACACAGATCCTCCACACAGATCCTCACACACTCCTCCACACAGATCCTCCACACAGATCCTCCACACAGATCCTCCACACAGATCCTCAACACAGCTTCACTGCACAGCTCCTCCATACAGATCCACCACACAGCTCCACTATACAGCTGCACCACACAGCTCCACCACACAGATCATCCACAAAGCTCCTCCAGACAGCTCCACAAAGCTCCTCCACACAGCTCCTTCACAAATCTCCTCCACACAGCTCCTCCAAAGCTCCTCCACAAAGCTCCTCCACACAGCTCCTCCACAAAGCACAGCTCCTCCACACAGCTCCACACAGCTCCTCCACACAGCTTGATTGATCATGTCACATTGTGCTTGTGTGTAGAATGTGGACGAGCGCAGTTTTAAGAGGATCTTCCAGTACATGAAGGCCTCCAAACTGGTGGAGATGTTCACCATGCCCCTGCAGGACCTGGACCCAGAGTCTGGACCCTGCCTCAACAAGAGAGGTATGACTTCTGCTGTGAGAGCCACATGGTTACATCTGCCTGTGGTGAACCTCAGTATCATGAATACAATGTCTGAAGAATGAAAAAAAAGGACTGATTAAAGTTCAAAGTGCTCATGTGGCATTGTTTTCTGATCTACAGTATGTTCTAATGTTGTTTCCTCATCACAAACACACCTGGACTTGTGTTTTGTTGCATTCACACATGTTTAACACACAAACTCTGCAGATTTAAGCTGAGCTCCACTGTGTTTTTAAACTCTATGTATTTTCACTAGAATCATTTGTGTCATTTCAGCCCTTGAATCTCTTTGAGTTTTAGAGATGTAGACAGGCTTAAATAATGCAGGGTTACTCAAACATGTGTGAATGAAACAAAACACAACTCCAGGTCTATTTTTGAGGAGGGAACAACATTATAACATGACTTAAAGCTCACAAAGTGCATTTTGTGTAATATAGGACATTTAAATACATTGATCTGTTTATATTCATGACAATACAACATGCAAAAAAGTATATATGTTTAATGCCAAATTGCTCATCTTATTTCAAACTATGGGGCCATAATTAGAGCACAGAGGGACAGTGTAGGTTCCTCTCTTCATGCAACTTTATCAGTGCCTCAGTCCTCCGTTACCGTATTTTTCGAGCTATTAGGCTGCGCTCTTAAGCCTCCAACCCCATCAAAAAACGACTGCGCGCCCCACAATCCAGAGCGCCCTATACACAAATCCACTCAGGTGTCCCAGCACGACTTCAGTAAACTACGAAGCCACACCACCCGCAGAACACACAAACACACACGGAGCAGACAGCGACCGCACAGCGACACACACCCACAGACACACTCATCACTCCACGCCGACGAGGAACGGAATGGAGGAACGAACTGAAAAAGCGAGTGCAATGTGCCACTTCTAGACACAACTGAACAACTGAGTCACTGTGAACACACCGACAACCCGTTGGTCCCAGACAGCCCCCTCCCTACACGCCACAACTGAACAAAGCCCAGAGTCACCGTGAACGAACAAACAAACAAAACCACTCACCCATCACACTGTTGTGTTTCCTTTAAAGTTCAGTGCGGTTTATTTGTGAAAAAAGTTCGAAAATAGACCATTCAATGAGAGTGCACCTTATATATGCCCGTAAAATACGGTATTTCTTTTTTTTTTTTTTGCATCTATTTCTTTACACATTATTTAATACAAACCTCATCTGAGTGAATGTTGTATTAGTGTAGCCATATGTGGGTACTACTGAAATTTTACTTTTTAGTCAAATTTGCACTTCTCAGAGGAGTTTTCAGAAACTACCGTGAAAAACACCCGCAGCCACACTCATCAGTCCACACGGACGAGGAACGGAATGGAGGAACAAACCAAAAAAGCGAGTGCAATGTGCCACAACTGAACAATGCTGAGAGTCACCGTGAACGCGCCAAACAAAGTCCCACTGACCCATCCAACTGTTGTGTTTCGTTTAATGTGCCTTATAGTGCGGTTTATATGTGAATAAAGTTCGAAGGTAGACTATTTAATGACAGCGCGCCTTATAATCCAGAGCGCTCTATAGTGCGGAAAATACAATACTTTTACTCCTGCTTGAGCAATGTAACAGTACTTTAACTTGAGTTGTTGTTCTCATGGCAAATACGTTTACAAGTGAAATCCAAATTCTTGGACTACTACTTTGTATATCTCCTTGAGTAATACTATTTTGAAGTATTGAGCATTTTACTTGAGTACAGTTTTTAGCTATTGGACCATCAACTGACGAAGAAATGTGGGGAATAAATGTGTCCTGTAAATGTGTTTTTAGGGAACAAGGTGCAGGTGCGCTGCATTAAGCTGCTGAAGCCATTCTCTAAGAAGAAGGTTCCAGATGAGGATGAGGAGGAGGAAGACGAGGGGGCACATGTGCGTCCTGAGGGGCTCATCATGGAGCGAGATGTGCTGTCCCAGGCCTACAACATGGGTAACTCCACACACTCAACATTTACAACTCTATCCTTTTACTGCATTTATAAGTTGTCATATGTTTCTCCACTTGCACGAGCTTCTTAACTTTCTGAGGGCAGCATTATTACCATGTACTGACAAACAAATATACTTTTACAGTAGTACACTTTGATATAAAAACATTTCATTATACAGAGGCGTATGAAGTCACTGTTCTGGTTAAGGGCCTGTCATCTGCTGGTCTCCATGAGGATTAGGGATGGGCATTCAATAAAATGATCTTAATCGATCGTCGGGAGAATTAAAGATAGATTATTGATTAATCATTAACGTTTTTTATATTAAAATGATCATCATTATTATTACTATCTGTACTACTAATCTGCATAAATAAATTAAATTTTACGACATATAAAACATAACCACTCTAGAGCCACATCAGCCCGTTTGACATTAGAATGTGTTTAATGCAACTTTGTGCCAGTCTCACAGAAACCAAACTTAAAACCACATCACTAATTTGCATAAACTAAGCAAAGAAAAAAAAAAAAACAGCTCTTGTGTCGCTGATGTGGCACGACTCAGTGGAATACAGGTTAGTGTGACCATATTTGCGTTTGTCAAAACCAGGACACTGTACGGGGGGAGGGAGGTTGGGCCTCCTCATCGACATTGAGCGACTCTCACCCGGTAAAACTTTTTCATGTTTTTAGGTGTCCTGGTGAACTTTTTCCCACTGGACACCGAAACATGTGCTGCTTTGTACACTGTGCACGTAGCCTCACACTTGTCAAAAACGCAACGGAAAGAGTGGAATTTCTTGTACAAATCATTGTTAAATACACATTTGTGCTTCGGTACGTTGCAGACTGACCGACTGTCTGTGTCTTGCTCCTTCTGAGTGCAGAGAGACACATGTACTGACCCGTTTGTCCCCGGACACGGACGTTTGGTCACCCTACACTACGCACAGCAACCTACATTCAGTTTGTCGATTAAAATGAACATAATCTATGAAATTCTTAATGATCAATTATCGATTAATCGACTAATCATGCCCATCCCTATTGGGGATAGTATTAGTTTGTCCCAGTTTGTGCTCCTAGGAGATCAATAATGTTCTTATTAATATTCACCAGTAATTGAATAAACACAGGATGAGAATGTCACCAAATACTTTTTATTAAATTGATTTGATCTAGTGTAGAGTCATAAATAGCACTAAACTAATGCCCTAAACTACTGCACTGTGTTGTGTCTTTGCTGGTTTAGTGGTGCTGAGTGGGACCAAGGGCCTGACCTGTGTGGGTCTCGGGGCCAAAATGAACGTGGGCAAATTGGAGAGGAGGATGATCTGCAGACAGCTCGAGAGGGAGGGAGTCATCAAGGTGAGACGTCTGTAGCTCCTGAACACAGAGGAGCTGTGTGTCCAATCACGTACTAATAAAGCCCAGAGAGATCATCGCCGTGGTAACCTATAGTAAACCATGTTATGACGGATGTTACTCCCAAACTTATGCAAAGAAAAAGGGAGCTGGACTTTTGAATAAATTTTTTTTTTAATACTAGGATAATGACTGACTACATTAGTAGAATATGCAAATGTACCATTATACACTGAAGCCCTTTATTCAGTAAATATTCTGGCCTTGTTTTTCCAGTATTTTCAGTTATGCTCTTCCACAACTCACAAGATGGTTGCCGCAACTGCCACTGCAACAGAACCACAGTCCCTCTAGTCTTTTTAAGTCATTATGTGTGCCAGTTTGAAGACCAAAGCTCACAGCTCCTCTGTCTATCTCTTCTCATCTGTCTGCAGGGCTTCATGGAGGACATGGGTCGACAGAGGACCACCAAGTATCTAAGCCACAAGTATGTACTGCAACTTCTACTACGTACAAACATCTTTTCAACACTAACGAAGGATTGCATTCCCCTCTGTGCTGTTTGTACTCCGAGTTAAAAGCACCTTTCCAACTCTCAGCTGACTTTCATAATTAAAGTTCACTGTAGCCATTATCAGTGTATTATTCATAATCAATAAATAATGCTACTGAGTAAAACTAATCTGCCTAATGAATTATTTTGAACCATATCATGTCTATCCCACCCCATGTGCAAAGAGGATATGATCTGAAGTGTATTGCTTGCTTTCTGATGTGAGGTGGCCTAAACAATAATGGAAAACTTGTATTTTTTCTGTTTTGGAATTAGATTTGCAGTGTTTATGTTTAATAGTAGGATTTACTTTAAAGGACCCATGTTACACTATTCTCTGTCTTCTATGTTTTAATGTAGTTTCCTCATCACAAACAAACCTGGAGTTTGTTTTGTATCATTCACATATTTAACACACAATCAGAAAACACTCTGTTCTACCTTGTGTCATGTGGTAATACAAGAAGTGCTCCACTGTGTTTTTAAACTCTATACAGCTTCACTAGAATCATTTGAGTGATTTATTGTCTCTCTCTACTGAAAAAAAGGTAAAAGGTCAACATGAAAACTACCACTTCACAAGGTGGAACCGAGCATTCTGAGCTTTGGAGATGTAGACAGACTAATAATAAAAGTTACTCAAACACGTGGGAATGAAACAAAACACAGCTCCGGCTAATAACATTCTAACATGGCTTAAAACTCACAAGAGTGAACTTATCTAAAGTTCACATTTGAGAGCATCTGAAATCCAAGAATCCAGAATTCAAATAGTAATTATAGTAATTTGGTTGTGATGTACCCTGCAGCCTTAACGTGTGGTTAGTTGTTCCATCATTCAGAGCAGACTTGAGCAGTTTTCTGATCATGATCTTGTCCTTGTGTCTCAGGTGTGTGGAAGTCAGCGATAAACTGCATCAGTTTGTCAAAGAACATGAACGCAGCCAGCTCCTGTGCTCCAGCAGTGCCCCGGACTCCCCCAAGCCCCTCTCCACCACCAAGACTCTGTCCAACATCGACATGTGCCGGACGCCCGCGCTCAGCAAGAACAAGGTGCGCTCCCGCACTGGCACCAAGAGTAAGGGCCCCAGAGAGGAGGAGAGGCCCCCAGACACCACAGTGGAGCAGGGGGAGGAGCCAGTGGCCTGTGAAGATCCTGCTCCAGGTACATCACAGTGAGAACAGAGGGCATTTTAAAGTTTAGGAGTATTGGATAATTATAATGCACCATAAGCACCAAAAGCATGTTTTAAAGATAATTAAAAGCAAAACATTTTTAATGTAACAGATAAGTTAACAGTATATCGTTCAGGGGCAGTTTGTGAAAAGTTACACAGCGCAGCTATAGGGTGAACTTCTCTGGAGGATGGTCATCCACCCTCGGTCTCCATAGAAATATTCCTTTGTGGATGTTCTATTGTACAGCATTACACTTGTCAATTTTGCTTTTTTTCTATCACCATGGGGACAAGCACAAGAAAAGTTAAATAGTGTTTCCTCTTTTTAAACTGTGTGTTCTCAGAATCCTTGACGGCAGCAAAGGAGGACCTCCCCTCAACTTCTCCTCAGGCTGAAGGAGCCAAAGACACTGCTCATGTGACTGTAGTAACAGACGTGCAGCCTCCTCTGGTCTGTGTTTCAGCCCTACTGTATGTACTCCTCTAGTGTAGCCCGCATGACAGAAGTGACCCTATCTCTCCTCTCTCTTCTCTCCTCTCTCCCTTTTCTCCTCTCTCTGTGATCTCTGTAGCCCCCCTCCAGGAACCACGAGACTTGTCGTCTTCTCAGGAGGAAGAACCTCATTGTGGAGGCCATTCAGGATCTCAAGATCTTTGAAGGACTTTACCCGTGAGTACAGATTCTTAGTGTGTCTGACTGAGTAGAGTCCCAGATTTAAAATGGTTTAGTCCTATTTGTTAGCACAGTCCTGTTTCAGTTGTCATGTTGTCTTGGTGTAGTCCATTGCCTGACCAGCCAGTCCCTTCTACATTCTGGTTGAAAGCATAAGAGTTTGTAACCAGACCAAATGCCTGTCCTAATGTTGGACGGTCCATCCACAGCTGCTCATCTGTCTCACATGTCTCTCAAATGCAGAAGACATCTCCTCTCCAAACTCTCTTATTAAACTGATCACTTCTTTTACCTGAGATAAATAAGTTTGGTGCTTCAGTGGTTGATTCTGTAGAAATCTGTGCTGTTTCTCAGTGCTATGCATTATTTTTCTTCCTTTTTTTACTCGTAAGCTGCCGTGTTTGTTTAGACAGACCGTACCTCTCTCTGACTGGTTAATCTGCCTGTCAATCATGCCATCTGAAATTAGTGATACAGGACACTGTTCCAGACCCACATGTCTTTGTAAAGTCATAATTTATTTGTGTCCTGGAGTTACGTGAAAATATTTAAGATGTTTTTGAGGCGTTTGTTGTCCACTATATAGTGAAAAAACCTGATGTACAGTGCATCTCTCCTGTTAAGGTAAATGTAAAAATTGTGCACTGTCCCTGTCTCAAATAAATGAATAAATAAATAAATAAATAAATACACTATCTCCAGGCTGCAGAGGATCATCAATGCTGAGGAGAAGCGCCTGGGGTTCAGCACCAAATGCTGTAAGAAGACTATTCTCCGCCTGGTCCAAACTCTGGCCCGAGAAGGTCTGGTCAAACTCTACACCACCACAGTCATCCAGGACGGGCTCACCAGGAAGGTATGGAGGACCCCACTCTAATGCACCAGTCAAATTTCTCTCCACACATATTTGAAGCAAGATATATGGGATTATGTAGCAAAGAAAAAACAAATAGCTCCACTAAATATTTTTATATTTTAAATTCACATCCACTCTTTGCTTTGTCGACAGTGCTGCAAACCCTTGGCCTTCTCTCAGTGAGCTTCATAAAGTCTCCTGAAATGGGTTTCACTTCACCGCTGTATCTTGTCAGGGTCCAGAAATGCCAAAAGTGCAAAGCAAAGAGTTAAAAAAAAAATCAAAAATCTGAAACAAGTTTGGACTTGTTTTGAGTTTGTTTCTGTTTGCTACATTCCATGTGTGTCATTCATAGTTTTGATGCCTTCAGTGAATATTCACGGAAATAAAAAACATAAATGAAAGTGAATCCAAAACTTTGACTGGTCTTGTACTCCTGATTAGATTTCAGATTTTCCTGTGTTAATGTAATACTGTCCCCATACACAGGTGGACCTGTACGCTCATCCTTCCATCCAGTCCTCAGATGAGATAGTCCAGAGAACCATAGACCAGGTCCGATTCAAGATGTCCAGCTCGTACTCAAACGTACGGTGAGTATGAGGTTTCTAAAGACCTGAGGTTGTATGTTGCTTCCCGCAAGTTTCATGAATCCATTAATCCAAAGTCTTGCCTAGATTGTAGTGTTAAAAATAAACCTATGGACTTCTGCTACAGTTTTTAAACCCATAAACTATCATCAGACTCTTTTCCTTAGGTCGTCATTTATTTCTCATTATTTATTCCTGTTGCTGACAGCAGACGGAGCTCTGACACTTAAAAGCCTCCACTGAAACTACTATCGTCACTGTACAAAAATGTTAAACTCAGTTTAATTACTAAGGAAAATTCTATACTCTGTACTCACTCTGATACCACGATGATATGTGGACAGTAGAATGTGATTTTCAGCATTAAATGGTAGTACTTTCTTTTCTATTCCCATGTGTCTTATATGTGTAAACTCTCAGTGGTGCAGTAGGTTCCATAGTGGTCCATGGGCATGTGTTCTTCTACTTGTTCTGATACAGCTCAACATCATTCTAAAGCTATTCAGGAAAGGCTCATTTCTGTCCAGTTAGTGTGGTCATTTAGTATTGGGACCTGCTCAAATGAGTATCTAGTTTCTATACTAGTTTTAAAATTGGCTAGTATCTGATTCTCAAAACTACTACTCAGTCTGTGGGTCTGTTTGCAGGTTGTCGGAGGAGGAGAAGAACAGTGGAGAGTCCAAAGACACGGATAGAGCAGTGAGAGCTCATTCTAAATCTCAGAAGCACAAGAAGGGCAAACTACCCTCCAAACACAAGAAGGACACGTTCGTCCCCACCACAGGTCTGCTTCAGCTCCCTCTGCTGCTGCCACTGCTGCTCTGCTGGGCCTGGACAGAGTTACACACAAACATATAACACTAACTACATGGGCTACATTTTACATTAGGAGTGCAGCTTATTGTTTGTCACAGCTGTTTTTAAAGGTCCTATATTACACAGAAATGTTAGAATGTTGTTACCTCCTCTAAAACTGACCTGGGGTTGTGTTTTGTTTCATTCACACATGTTTGAGTAACTCTTTATTATTCTTTATTCTGTCTACATTTCAAAATGTTCTTTTCTACCTTGTGATGTCATGAAGTTGTAGTTTTAAAGTTAACTGCTACCTTTTATTTTTACTTCAGTAGCGATTGGCAGTTCCAGAACTGAAATTATCCATATGACTCTACTGGAGGTATATGCATTTTAAAAACAGAGTGGAGCAGATCCTGTATTGCCACATGACATCACAAGGTGGAAAAGAGTATTTTCTGTATGAGAGAAGAATTCACCCTAAATATGCAGGGTTTGTGTGTAAAACATGTGTGAAGGAAACAAACACAACTCCAGGTCTGTTTGTGATGAAGACACAACATTATGATAAGATAAGATATGCCTTTATTAGTCCCACAATGGGGAAATTCCAGTGTTGTAACGCACAATTCAAGAACAGCAGGAAAATGGTAACATGCAATAAAACAAGATAATGAACATCATTGGCTTAAGATAATAGATAATGGCTTAAAAATAATTTTAAAATAGACCCTAATGTAACACACTGTTTTGGTGGAGCAAAAATATAAAATACCAAAAAAAAAAAAAAGTACAATAAAAGTAACAGTGCAGCATTTACAGTAATATGACTATGTTTATGTACAGCAGCATTAGACAGGATAAATATCAGTAGAGTGACTTAAGTGAATTGTATCAGAGATGTTCTCCATCAGGGGTGCTCAATACGTCGATTGCGATCTACCAGTCGATCGCCAAGGTCGTGTGGGTAGATCGCCGTGTCTCCTCTCGGACTCGCGTTTGGACTCGGTCTTGTCTCTCACTCGAGGTCTGACACTCAACAAGTGCGATCATATTTCATTACGGCCGCTGCTGTTGGTAATAAACTTGTAGCGGGTGCAGGAGCGTGTGGGGCGTCTCAGTGCAGCCTGTGCGCACATTTGAAACCCGCGGAGACTCTACGGCACATCACAAACACACACGCTCCCTATGCACGGCTCGTCTGCAACAGCGTGTGCCCTCGTGTACCAGCGTGCATCACAGGGCAGGTTCAACTTCCTAAACATCCTACCTGTCCATCTGCCTCACGTCAGCACGCCGCCCCTCGCCTTTTCACGCTCTCGCTCCTTCCTGCGTACAGCGAACACAAGCCCCTCCCACAGTGCGGCTGATTAGAAGAGCAAGACCAAACGTGAAGCAAAAACCAGTCTAAATTTGTGTTCCAGTGTTGGCACAAAGCAGGTCTACAGCATAGAGCGGATCTACAGAACAGACCTACTGCCACATTTGGCTGAAGTTTGTCTAACAAAAGTGCACAAATGCATCTGTGTTTGTCACGATGTGCGTTTGGTTTGGTAAACATGCAGAGGCTGGTAAATATCACTGCAAAACCAGAAAAGAATGCAACTCCAGTTTGGAACTTTAAAAAACAGATTTAAAAATCTTCCTTCACTTTTTTCACAGTTTTGTGTAAAGTGCCAGAGGAAGTTCTCTTAAAGAAGAGCTTCTCAAACTGTGGGGGAGGGTCCAAAAAAGTATTGTATTAGGTAGATCATTTTGACTTGGTCATTTTGTAAGTAGCTCGCATGCTGAAAAAGTGTGAGCACCCCTGGTCTACATGGTCTACATGATCTTCAGTATTGCACATAGTTAATCAAGAAAATCTGCATAATCTGCTCAAATATGGAAGCACTCCTGATCTGTTCTGTCAGCTGTGGTCTGACATGTACAGAAACAAATGGCGTCGAACAAAATTACAGATGCAAACAGTACACAGTGGACTTATTTTGACCTCAGGAGCTGCTTCTACAAAATACCTGTACTGTGCAAGACACATTATGCTCAAATACATGAGTTAAAATCAGGCACAGGTACTTTAATGTGTTTGTAATGAATGCATGTGTTATAAGCTACTTCAACCCTTTTAAATTTCTGATGTCATAATTTTTCCCTGTCCCCTGTCTGTCCCTGTCTGTCCCTGTGTGCAGTCCGAGGGCTCAGTAAGTCGCTCGGGTACCAGCCCAAGATGCACCGGATGCGCGTGGTTCATAACTTTCTGTGGTACATGGTCTACGGACACCCACTGAGACACAACCCTGAGACACAGACCTTTGAGAAGTCCAAGCCCAACCACCCCTCTGACCCTGAGAAGGGACCCAAGGGTGCGGAGGAGGGGGCCTGGTGTGTAAAAGAAGGGCCCCAAGATGCTGAGAATGGGTCCCAGGGTGTTGAAGAGGGTCTGCAGAGTGGGAAGGAGGGAGTCAAAGGGGCTGAGGAGGGGCCCCAGGGTGAAGAAGGACCCCGGGGTGCAGAGGAAGGTCCTCAGGGTGCAGGAGGAGCAGAGCCAGAAGAGGACATCTGCTCCAGGTCTGAACATATGTCAGTATCGGGAGATGAAGAGGAAGACCCACACCCACAAATCAAAGGTACTTGTACACATAGACACACACACAGACACACACACAGACACACAGGCACACCGACAGACACACACGCACACCGACAGACACACAGACACACACAGACACACACACAGACACACACAGACAGCACACGACAGACAGACAGACAGGCACACACAGACAGACAGACACACAGACACACAGACACAGCACACCGACAGACAGACAGACACACCGACAGACACACAGACACACAGGCACACCGACAGACACACACGCACACCGACAGACACACAGGCACACCGACAGACAGACAGACACATAGACAGACACACAGACAGACAGACAGACACATAGATACACAGACACACAGATACAGACACACACACACAGACACACAGACACACACAGATACACAGGCACACAGACACACAGTTACACCAGACAGACACATACACAGACACATAGATACATACAGTAGATGCACAGATGGTCCGACATGTTTGATCCCAAAGGAAATTGATTTCTTTATTTTTCATTGATCACAAAACTCATGCAGTTGATAAGGTGAAACTTTGTAGAGAATGGTGGACTGTGAGATTTATTGTCTTCAAATTGAAAATGTGCATTGAAGTCACAATAAGTAAAAGACTACAATTATTTATTATTTATTACTGTTATTTAACATAATATATTATTATTATTGAACAGGTGCTGGTAATCTCCTTAAATAGGGGGAGGTGGCTGCAGGTGAGGTGGGCGTCGACCTGCCCCACCAATCACAGACCAGGGCTCCTGCAAGCAGGAATCGAGAACTTGGCAAAAATCACACAAACGAATTAGAACCAAGGCCTGGGGCCGTAACATTGGCGATATATCATTATATTTTGTCACTGTATGAATTATTGTATAGTAGGTCAAATATAGCTGCTCGTTTTTGTAATAGTTTAGAATAATATAGTCAAATTACAATTTCATTTGTTATATTATATTAAAGTCAACATTTACAATAACAAAAAAGGTATAACCATTAAACATAGCTGCGTTCTCCTGTCCAGTGTACTTGGAGGAGGAGGAGCCGTGGAAGAAGTACATCCCTCCAGTGAAGTTACATAAGGACTACAGCAGCGGCTGGGTCATGCTGGGAGACCTGATTCTCTGTCTGCCTCTGTCCATCTTCATCCAGGTCATCCAAGTCAACTACAAGGTCAGACAGCACCCACCATGAAGGACCACCACTCCTGCCACCTCCTGCACTCATTTTAGCACAGTCTCGAGCTTAAACAACCAATACTCAATGTCATCTATTGTAATTATGTTGGAACCATCACCCAACATCCCAAAATATTCACAATTTAAAAAAAAAAGTAGATCAGATTTAAAGCTGGCCACATGTCAGCACTTAAAGAACACCTTTGTGCTTGTGTCTGCTATAGTTGTAATCTTTGGCACACCTTGCATCATTATGTTATAATTTGGACATTTTGAATGGCATTATTTATCTAAAGTGACTTAATCAAAGAAACAAGTCTGCTGAGTTCTGCGTTAGAAAACTGTGGTGCCCAGTGGGAACTGATGTTGCCGTAAACATCATCACAACAACGTACCAGCCCCTCGTATGGACAGCTGCACCTTATCGTTTGTTTACCTTATCATTTGTTTCGTTTGTTTCCTTGGTTAAACATGACTGTGGTCAGGTGGATGGTCTGGAGGACTACCTGAACGACCTGGAGAAGCAGCACTACCTGGTCAGATGTTTACCAGCCCGGATGAAGAGACAACTGCTGTACAAACGGTGAGCTTTCCTATCATCTGTGCTCCTCTTCTATGCACCACACGCCAACTTATAACTGTGCGTGTCCTTCATTTAGGAGGTACATCTTCTCCTTCTACGAGAACCTGGTGAAGCTGGCCTACATGGGCCTCATACAGTTTGGGCCTCTGGAGAAGTTCAGAGACAAGGACCAGGTATGTTCAGAGGACTTTATCACCAACAGACTGACTGACATGTTCTAATGAAGTGGACTAAGGGAGTGTGACGTCACCCGTAGCGTTTATCCTGTCAAATCAAACTCACTGAGGCTAGCAGTTGTAGAATTCAATTTGGAGAAAAGTTTTATATTGGGAATTCTAATCGCAAGTATCATAGTGACTAGAGATGTAACAATAACTCAAATATCATCATCATATTATATCGTCAAAAGTCTCACAATAATACCGTGGGCCATCACAATATATTGAATTACAAATCCCCATCCATTTTCTTCTACTTATTCGGGGCTGGGTCGTGGGGGTAGCAGTCTAAGCAGGGACTCCCAAACTTCCCACACCCCAGACACTTCCTTCAGCTCCTCTGGGGGGACCTCAAGGTGTTCCCAGGCTAGACATAGTCCCTCCAGCGTGTCCTGGGTCTTCCCCAGGGCCTCGAATTACAAGTCTGCTTCTGCTAAAGAGCCTGTCTCATGCTAAATCAACTTTTCAGACCTTTCTACCTTCTAAGAGTGATGTGTGGGTCTTGTATATGTAGCTGAAGTGTTTTTTTTAGATTGATTTGGCATTTTTTAAGCAAATTGCAGCGTATTTCTGTCACCCTCCCACGTGAGAAGGAACTAAAGCTGCTACAATGATGATGCGGCAGATACATCTATAACGTGTTTGATGTAGCAGAAGATGCCCTCCTCCCCCGCTCCACCTCCTCAGCTCCACCGCCTCAGCCTCAGCCCCACCTCCACCCCGCATCGTCTGATAATTCCCACATGAACACCTAAACAAAAGCGGCAGCATAAGCTCATTATTCTACACTGCAGTGTACACGATATAATAAGTTTATCTACTAGTGTTTATTAATACTTTACCGGAAGGGCGGCTCACACGTTGCCTACGTCACGTTTGGAGGGCGGAGCCTGTGTTTTCTCAGGACGGGCGGGGTGAGGAGCAATAGTCGGCCTCTCATAGTTCCTGGTCTGTGACTGTCTCCAAGAAATCAGTAAGATTTCAGAACTATTGTGTAATGGATGTTCCAAAACCCAAATTGTGCTTGTTTATGTGCAAAAGATACAATGTGAAAAGAGTTATTTTGCACGAGATGGGCCCTTTAAATTATTAGTTATAGTACAGAAATATAGTTAAAAACCACAGGGAACTACTTAGACCATGATCTTTGCTCAGTTTCAATGCCGAATTTGATTCATTCTCACTCTATCATCATCCTATCCTTCCTCATTTTCCCTTCAGGAGTAGGACAGGAGAAAGAAAGAAAGATAGAAAGATAAAAAGATAGATAGATAGAAAGACAGAAAGGTGGATGGATACATTTTTCACCCACTAAATAGTCTGGATTTCTGTCTGAATAAGCTGAAGTATGTACAGGCATTTCCACATTAGCTCCATTCACTGGTTGCCCAATCACAAACTCACAAATGTGGTGAGAATTCATCTTGCTGACCAGGTTAATCCCTCCGTGTATAGAACAAAACGAGCAGAATGCTGTTGGTTGGTGTTGAATCCTGTGTTGTCCTTCAGGTGTTTATCTATGTGAAGCGCCACGCCACCATCGTGGACACCACCAGATCAGAGCCTCATTACTGGCTGGTGACAGAGCCTCCAGAGCGGCCGTTTGAGAGGAGACGCTACACCTTTAACACTGCAGAGGACATCGAGAGCTTCTGGTTCGACCTGATGTGTGTCTGCCTCAACACTCCTCTGGGTACGACACACAGGGCTGCTTAGATGGGACACTGGGCTCGTGTGATGAAATTCAGATTGACGAGATTATGTGGCAAGAAATATTCAGAGTAGAGATGGGACAATTTCTACGAGATGAGACATGTCAAGAGATTTAGCTCACAAAAACGAGACAAGACAAGATTTTGATAAAATTTGAATAAATAAATTGTGCCTTTCACTTTTTATGTATTTAATTTGACAGTTTTGGTGTCATTATAGCACTACATTATAGCAGTATAGCATGCTTTTTGGTATTACATCTTCTCAAGAGGAGTTAATCAGCAAAATTAACCTTTTTAATCCAAGCAAAATAAGGGGGAAAAAATTTCATAAGATAATTTTTTGTCTTGTGGCTAATTTTGTCACGTGAGATCTTGTGGCACGAGATCTTGTCCCATCCTTAATCCAGAGGGATCTGTGACTAGGTCCAGTATCCTACTAGGTTTCTGCAAACACAAAAAGCTGTATTATATTTACAGGCACGCCCACTAAACCAGATTCTGACTTCCTCAGATATTAGCACAATTTCCAAAATCCATGTAAACACTGAGCTTTGATACGGGGACTTGCGTCTCAGTTCAAACTTCACTAATCGAGCACAACTCTAACTGTACTCTGAGAAACCCTGCATCCAGCTCAGATCACACCAGCGGGTACTTACTCACTTACATTAGATCAGCAATGATACAAATTATGAACACTTCAAGTTACAAAATGATTTACTCAAAAAAATTTAATTTATTGAAATTGTCCAAACAAATTCTCTTGTGGATCAATGAAGTTTGTCCAAGTCTTATTTCTATATCTAGATTTGCAAAAGTGTGATTAGACTGTATCTTCTGTGTCTCTTCATATTTTCATGAGCTCTAGCAACAAAGTTCATGTGTGTGAAATACACACACTGTTACTTTGTGAACACAGGACTGAGTGTGTGTGTGTTCCAGGTGTGATCCGCAGTAAGAGGAACGGGGGTGAGACTGACCCCTCCTTTGTCAGGGACCGCTCTGTGTTTGTGGGAATGTCCTACCTCATCAAGTAAGAGCTCCAGCTACTCTGCACCACACATACAAGGACTTCAGAGTACAAGCCAACACACACTAACAGTAATGATCTGATTGTAATGTACTGCACAAACAAGCTAACAGGGCTGTAGTCGACTAAAGAAATCCTTCGTTGACTAAAGACATGTCTTGCCAATTAGCATTGTCAAAAGTACCGAAAATTTTAAAAGTCACATTCACATAGACTCATAGAGTTGTATACACCCATGGACCACTATGGAACCCACCTGCAGCACTGAGGGATTACACACATATAAAACACATGGGAATAGAAAAGAAACTACTACTGTTGAATGATGAAAAATGAAACTCACATTCTATTGTCTAAATATTAAATTTTTTATTATCACTGCGGTATTGGAATCAGTATTGTAGTTCAGTATTGAGTCTATTCCTTAGAATCCAAATTTAGTTAGTGTCTTGACAACATGATTAGAAACACTATACTTTTAAAAAATGTAAACCATTAACCAGTGTACAGAACAGTGCCCAATATCTGTGAACCTTTTTATACTGACTATTTGCCCTGACATGACTGTAATGACATTGTGATCCTCACAGAGGCAGCTTGGAGGTGGTGGATGATGGTTCTATTCCCGGTGATGGGAAAGGAGCAGGAGGCCTCTCCTCTGAGTTCTTTGCTCATCTCAAGAGGAACTGGCTGTGGACCAACCACCTGCTCTCAGTCAAACCTGTAAGTCTGGTGATATCTCACTCCACATAAACACAGTTTGTTGTTGTTTCTACAAAATCTGTGTTCTTTACTTCAACTTAAGCCACATGTGTGGGCCATGTTATGGATTTTAAAAGCTAAATATTAATATAGACAAATATTTTCGTTTATCAGCCACAGCAGCAGGACAAATATCGGATATTGGCTCAAAAAATTCACATTGGCCAATCTCCAGCTGTTTCCTTTCACCCTCTTGAAGTTGTATTTAGTGATTTGTGCATGTTTGAGTCATCTTTATTCCTCTGTATTCAAGACATCATTGCTCCGATTCACCTCAACCGGTACACGCCCACTGTGATGTACACACTTTGTTGGACACAGTAATTTTCCAGCTCAGAAATCTGCGTAGTTTTCAGTATTGTGATTAACATGTTTAGATGATAACATAAGGACCCATGGGCGTCATAGATTATGTTATAACAGACACAGGCACAACAGGTCTATAATTCTACACTTGTCACACATGCTTCTGTGACTGTTGCAGAGACACACTGGTCTGGAGTGCACGGACACAAAGGTGCGACTGAAAAGCCTCTGTAGGAACTCTCTGCAGATGGTTCTCCAAGCAGGTGAGGGTTCCATTAGTGTGTTTACCACATTGTAAATTTAGTATAACAGTGTATTTTAATGAAACTCTTTTGTTGCCAGGTCAATACTGTAGTTACAGCTATGAAATGTCTTTTCCTTTTGGTATTTAATGTGCAGTTGATTGTGTAAATGCACCAGGGCCCATGTTTTGTGCTGTGTTTGTATTTGTGTCAAACAGAAGGGTCTGCCATGCCCAGCTATCTGACCCCTAAGAAGAAGCTGATCACTGAGGAGGACGTCCAGGTACCATGTCCCTAACTCTAGCTCTTACAGTGTGCAGTGGTGTATAGTGTGTAATGAGTGATGAGTGTGGTCTAACCCTGGTGGGGGCAGGTGGTGGAGGAACCAGCTTGTAGGAAGAAGCAGGGGATGGGAGGAAAGCAGCAGAAGAGGAAGAGACAAAAGAAGGAGGTGGTGAAGGTCCCACGCAAAAAGAAGGGTATGTGCCTTAATCTGTCTAACAACATCCAAACTCTCAGTCACATACATATAGTACATACAGTAGTCCCTTCAGCAGGTCCTCAGGGCCCCCACCCAGTGAGACAGACATTCTGACATCATCCATCATAAATGAATGCTGCTGTTTAGCTCACTATTTTGGCCACACAGTTTTCATTTATTGAATACATTTACTGTCGTTGTAGCACCGCTTTTTGGAGTTACAGCTTCTCAAAATGTGTAACTCAACTTTTTTTTTTTTTTGTCTAAGCCAAATAAATAAACATAAAGAATCATTCTACAAATGTGGGATCTTGTGAGATGTTGTCCCATCCCAAGGCAATAGGATGTTGGTAGACTGGTAGATGGTGTGTTTGTGACAGCTCTTTCCCCCGACAGAGGCAAAGAAGCGCAGCTCAGCCCATGATGAGCGCGACCACGAGGCTCTGAAGCACATGACTCGGCAGAGAGTCTACTGGTCCCTACAGGAGGACTCACTCATGATGCTGTGTGCTGTGGCCGCTAACCTGCTCAACAGCAAGGTACTGTCTCACACACACACACACACACCACCCCTGCATTCAGATACACGCAATAGTATGGAGTATGGAGGGCAAACCCTCCACCTCAACATCTGGAGACTGCTCCTGACAGCTTGCACCAGTGGTTTTGAAGGATCGGTCAAATTTCGCTAGGGGGACAATAAAGTGTACCATACCCTGAATCTTAATGTAATGTCTCCACTCCACATTGTTTTTAAAAACTCAAATGTTGCTGTGCTCAGCTCAAGAGGCCCTTCGTCCCGTACTGTGTGGTGAGAGACGTTCTGCACAAAGAGTTTGAGAAGTCTCGAGATAAGACATCTTTGGCTGTGGGCCGCCGCACACGCTACATCCTCAAGAACCCCCAAACCATGCTCAACTACAGGTGGGTGCTCCCTCCACTGGGTACTCTGCTATGAGCTACTGTGTTATGTGGTACTCTGCTATGGAATACTTTGCTATGGGCTGTCAGGACTAATATATTAATGACATATTATGTAAAATGCACTTTTATGAGCCTTTAACTATTGTATAATTCTCCTTCATCATTTATGTTCGCAAAATTGTGATTCTTGCGTGTTAGAGGAATCTTCTATTGTCCTGTAGGTGAGACTTGAGGGCTCCTAAAATCTTTTCTCTGTTCACCGCCCTCATATCTCCACTCACTTCATATCTTCTCACTTCTGTGTACTTACTTGGGGTTATTCCAATGATCAACATGTAATAATGACCCACATGTGTTAGAATAAGCCTGTCTGCAACAATGTGTCCAAAAGACATTTGGTAGGAATGTGAAGTATTGCATACATCTGCTTGTAGAAAACAAAAGCTCTGGGTTAGCATTGAACATCGTCTTTCTTAAATGGCAGCCTGCTTTGACTGGTGTGTTGCAGGATCTGTCTGGCGGAGGTGGGCCAGGACAATGCTCTGCTCAAACTGTTGGAGGAAAACCTGCCCAAAGACCCAGACAGCCCTGAGGTCAGTCAAACCTGACATACACATGCCATCTGAAACCCGGCAATAGCCCCATAACGCGAACAGATAGATGTCTCATAGTTGTCCCTTTCCTAACCTTACTCTGGTCTGTGCTGTGTCCATCAGGAGTGTGCACAGTCCTTCTCAGAGTATGTGCGTCTGCTCAGACAAAAGTTCAGCTCCACTGTAGACCTGAATGAGCTTTACATCCCCGACAGCAAGGAGGAGCTCTTCTCTCAGTAAGACATTACACACACACTCAGGGACTTTAAGCACAACAGCTCACATCAGTTCAGACTACAAACTGATATACAGTATCTTCAGGAAGGGATACATTAAAAGTACATTGTGTAACTCTGTGTTTATCGCCTGGCTTTTTCAACAGTATGGCATTAAATATGTCAACTTGTTTGTTCTCCCTGTGTGTGGGTGGGTTTCCTCTGGGCACACCATCAAACTAAACATGCACAACAGGTCAAATCCTCCATCTGATGTAGTCCGGACCAAGACTAGCCCATGACCTGGAGATGGATCTCGAGGCACAGTAGCTCACTGCCCCTGGCTGAAAGACGGGTCAAATGCAGAGAATGAATTTCCCTGACGAGGGTTCAATCTTAACAACATGCAGTCTCTCTGTGAATGCAGTTAACTCTCCACAGATCTGATCTGTAACTTGGCCCGATTGTCTCCTTAGAGGTAGATTAGTTAAATGCCATACAGTGGAACATTTCAGGAAAGCAATAACTTCTCCATGGAGATCTGCAGTCCAATTACGTAGTGCACCTTTAAAATATTGTTTCAATATACATAATAATGATAATAATAATAATGCATTAGTTTTATACAGTGCTTATCTAGACATTCAAAGACGCTTTACAGATCATTATTCATTCACTTCAACCCTAGTGGTGGTAAGATACTATTGTAGCCACAGCTGCCCTGGGGCAGATTGACGGAAGTGAGACTGCTAATCTGCTCCATCGGCCCCTCGGACCACCACCATCACTCACACACACACCACTTTCATACTAGGCAATATGGGTGAAGTGCCTTGCCTAAGGACACAGCTTTTTTTTTTTTTTTGACTGGCCCCCCTGTGGCACCTGATTCTCCCAGTGTCTCCCATCCAAGTACTGACCAGGCACAGCCCTGCTGAGCTTCTGAGATCTGACGAGATCAGGCTTTGACAAGCCGGTATGACCACAAATATAAATATAATATAAATGTTACTGTACTGTACAGACATATCTCATTTTGCTTTAATAATACATATACTGTGCAGCTCTAATGATTATCTTTACATTTCCAAGTTCTAATCTAGCATCTGATGTAAGTGACAGTTTCTCTGAAGTTGTTGGTTTGTTCTGTGTTTGTTTGAACAGGTTCAAAATTTGTGCCATCGATAATGTGCGGAGACTCTGTGACACGGACACTCTGAGACGGTGAGTGCTGTGGGACAAACTAGGACAGTCAAAAGGATCCAAAATGAGATTCTAATCCAGGCATGTCCAAACTATGGCCCAGGTGCCAAATGCGGCCCTCAGACACATTTTTCTTGGCCCTCAGATTTCCAGGTGAATTGGCCCAAATTACCTTGCGTCAATTAAAAAATATTTTTTTACTGCAAATTTTTTGAGAATCTACCTGGATAAAGCTAATATTGAATATTTAGTGTGTGGTTTTAAGGATCTTAGCATGAATAAAGACTGATGGTTCATTCTAACGTGTTAAATATGCACATATTTCAATTATTCCCTGTACTGAGCATCAGTCTGCGGCCCCCGATCGGCCCTCTGCTTCGTCTGTGTTTAGATATGTGGCCCTTGATGAAAAAAGTTTGGACACCCCTGTTCTAATCCATGCTAAAACTAGATACTCATTTGAGCAGGTATGGATACTAAAGAAGTCCCATTAACAGGACAGAAATGAACCTTTCCTGAATGGATTTAGAATGATCTGGAGCTGTATCAGAACAAGTGTAAGAGCACATAGACTAGTATAAAAGGACATAACTAGCGCACCATCTGCTGCGTCCCTAAATGAAGACATGAACATTCATTAAATTTGCCCTTATAAATGCCAGCCTCGATGAGCGTCATTTGGCTGGAGCCAAATGTCACACTCACTTAGAGCTGGGACCAAGTCGTTGTTTTGCAAGTCTCAAGTAAGTTTCAAGTCTTTAACCTCAAGTCCGAGTCAAGTCCCAAGTCAAATACAGGCGACTCCAAGTCGAATCTCAAGCCACTGGCCCATAAATCCAAGTCAAGTCCAAGTCGTTTGCGTTAAGCTTCAAGTCATTTCAAGTCTTTAAACCAAAGTACCAAATATAGCTTTGATTTTAGCAGTTTATGTGACTTTTAAACTGAACTGTACTTTAAAAGTCTTAGTATATTTATATATGAGTATGTATTTATATATTATATATGAGTTGTAGAAATGCTAACTTTTCTTTTTAAAAGATTTTAGTGCCAATCATTACCGTTAGAACAGAAAGAATTAAGAGTTTAAATTTTTTTTCATGTAATCTGCACTGAAATGGATGGATCCTGTTCTATGTAGTTTCCTCTTGTTTTACTGTATTTTATTGTATATTACTGTATTGTACTGTACATGCTGTATTGTACTATATATTTCTGTATTGTAGTGTATATTATTGTATTACATTTGAGGATACCATCTCACAGTACTTCAGTTCCATCCAAAGTACCAAACAGAGAAGTAGGACAGACATGTTCCAGTTTGTTCCTTTAAAATGCAGTTCTGCATTTATAGAAAAGTATTTTCTAAAAACATATATATTTTTTGGAGAAGCATCAAATCTTCTCAAGTCACAGACCTCAGGTCTTCTGAGTCAAGTCTCAATTCACTGACCTTCAAGTCCAAGTCAAGTCCCAATGACATTCTATTGTCCAAAGAAAGAGTGTTATTATTAGTGTTCTTATCATTGTCGGTATCGAGTCTGTTCCTTTGCATCAGAATGAACAGTGTTTGCGTATTTGTGTCCACAGGACGGAGGACATCCACGCCATCGTCCTGCACAACCTGATCCAGAGCACATTGGCCATGACCAACTCTCAGATGAAGAGCTCCCGGTCCTTCCAGGTACACACAGCTCTGAGACCCAATCACTAAAACATGCACATACATACAGGCTAGGACTAAGTGGAGGGACCGAAACCCTGGAGATATTGTTCTACCTGAAATGTTCTACACATCCACATCCATCAAAAACATGACTTAGATTGTAGTGGTTGTACAAGAGTCTCTAGGCTGTGTCGTGGAGCTCCTAGCAGGTGGTTCCTCTGTCGTCCATCTCACAGCTCTTCGTCTCTGTCTCCTGCTGCAGATCTTTCATGTGTACAGCAGCTACAGTCAGGAGCTGCTGTGTCAGGTCTTCGTCCAGTGCAGGAGGAGAGGCCTGGTGAACCGCCGCAGGATGAACCAGAGCCTCGGACCCAAGAAGAACCGAGCCCTGCCCATCCTCCCCATGTCCTACCAGCTCTCCCACTCCTACTACAGGTACCACTGCTCAGAACACTACTACTACTACTAATACTACTACTACACTACTACAGGTACCACTGCCCAGAACACTACTACTACTACTAATACTACTACTACACTACTACAGGTACCACTGCCCAGAACACTACTACTACTACTACTACTACTACTACACTACTACAGGTACCACTGCCCAGAACACTACTACTACTACTACTACTACTACTACTACACTACTA